TCTGCTTGGCAGGAGCACTATTTATGTCACACCAAATGCGTAGAAACTCTGTTCTGGACATCACTTTGAAATTTAATTCTTCTGAGTCAGGATGATACATACGAGGCTCTATGGATGAGACACATTTTATATCCTGAAGTCGTTTTCTGGGTCCATGACACTATTTCCCCTGCTGTTTATCCAATTTGTGATTATACAACTCTGTAATGTGCCCTGATTCCATTCTATTTTCCATTTGTTGTACTGTGCATGTTTAGTTTAGATTTGAAGAGGTGGACCCCCATTGATCACAGCAACACTTTAATCATTCTTTATTGTTGTAGGCATCTCTGAAATGAGGAGATGACTTGTATACATTTTTTTATATATATAAATGAAGTGGGATGGAAAGTCAAAGACGGATAAATGGTGAGGGAATAAAACTGAAACAACAGGAAAAATGAATAAAACGATAAAGTAATTATGTGCAACCTGGCTCAGTTAATAGTACTCTTGCTTCCTGAGTCAGAAGGTTGTGGATTCAAACTCCTCATCAGGACGTTGAATTTTTATGGTCTAGGTTGACACTCGAGAGCAATGCTGGAGGTTTATTGCATTGTCCTTCAGATGAGATATTGAAACAAAGTCCCGTCTGTGTGTTCAGTAGGATGTGCAAGATCCCATGATAAAAGAGAACGGGTTTCTTTCAGCGTCCTGGCCAACAATCTCCAGAATGAAATTAGTCATTTACTCCATTGGATATTGATGTGCACAAATTAGCTGCCACATTCACCCAAATAATACAGTCGCTAGATTTAATAGTAAACCCAGTAAAGTGTTTTGAGACATCTTTCTGACCTGAAAGGTGCTATATTAGTTGTAAAGTTTATTAAAAGATCAAGCCAAGCAGAAGCTGAAATGATGAAGGGAATAAAGGATTCACTTGTAAATTTTAATTCCCTCCTATAATAATCCCTCCAAAACCAAAAACGATAATAAATTGGTCATTTTCAATCTACGACTGTTTGTGGGACATTGCTGTGCGCAATTGGCTGCCGCGTTTACCCACAAATATACAGTCAATTCACTTTACAGTGTGTTCTGTGAAGCGCTTTGGGACGTCCTCCCGACGTGAAAAGCGCTATATCAAATGCAAGGATTATTATTATTATTATTATAATAATGCATTTGATATAGTGTGTTGTAACTGTATATTTTGTAGGTAAACATACCTACAAACAACAGAGACCTCCACCTTTTCGTTTGTATTACAGTGGAAGAAGAGTCGAAGGATATAGTTGAATCCTGCATTCAGTTGTGATGATGATGATGATGATTATTATTATGAGCAGAGGCCTGGAAGGAAAATTACAAAGCAAGTCTTAAATTGGAATACACTGACCTTCCTCTTGCCAGGCAGCTAACTCATCTTGGCTTTCAACAATGCATTTATTAAATGCCAGGATTATTATTATAATATCGATAGTGGTATGGGAGTGGGCAGCCAGGCCTGCAGGCTTTACTGCAGAAGAGAAGCTGCATAATCTCAGAGATCTAGCAAGAGGTACAGGGGAGGAAATATAGCATGAAACATGCAAGTGTTTTCCTAAACTCTACAGGTTAGATGTTTTCGTAAAATAAATACTGTTGTTCGATTACAATAATGCAGATTATGCTGCCCTGGAATGAATCACTAACATCAAAAATGCAGCAATGATAACCTTTGGAAATGTGTTTCACAAGTCAATCCAGTGTCATATTTAATGAAGTACTAATTTTTCATAATTCGTCTAATATTTGATTTTTAAAGCATAATGCACTTTTGTGCTGAATGAAAGTGTTTATAATGAAAATTAAATACACTGTTTTGAAGCCATGTTGTAAAGTTATAAGTTTTAAAGAATAATAACTTCCATCAAAACACCATAGAATCAAAATTTGTTACAGAAATAGACCATTTAGCCAATGAAGTCTTTTCTGGTATATTTCGCCATGTGCGCTATCTAATCCTTCTCTTCTGCACACTTTTCGTATCCTTTAATATTCCTCTTTTCCAGTAATTATCCAATTCATGGCTGTTTGTGGCATGCTGCTGTGTGAAAATTTGTAGACAAAGACAGTTGTTACACTTTACAGTAAATCCTGCAAAGTGCTTTAAGTCATTTTAATGATGTGACGAGGCACTATTTTAAATGCAAAGATTATTGTTAGAAATTCACTTTTAAAATAATCTATGCATTCTGCATCAGGAGCTGCTTGCGACCAAAAATTCTATAATCCAAGCACCCTCTGTGTAAAGACGCTTTGGTAACTTCTTTTTATTCCTTTTGTGATCCTCATTTCTCAGTGATTATTCAAAGCAATTATCGGAATGCTGTACTGTAGGCGGGAGTATTATTTATAAATTGCAAGTTAATTTGAGGTTGTTAAAGGAAGAAAGAAAAGATAATTGGGGGAAAAGGGATAATATATAATCTGGGGTCATCCTACATCAATCAATAACCTTTTGTGTACTGTACACAAAACGTTATTCTTGGAGAATCTTCTATTCACACTGCGACAAATGAGGCGGGGAATGAATGGATGGATTCTCTTTAATAATACTCCACCATAATTAATAACAGTTTTCAAAAATCCACCAAACTTAAATGCTTTTTTTCCCCACCAAACATTGCCCACACTGCCAATTGGTCCAGAAACTCACGTTGTGCCTTTAACATAGCTGTGAGTTGTGATAAACGAATGTAGGACAGACGCCTACATTTCTTTGTACAAAGCGTATTCAACAGCCGGAACAGTTACAAAGAAAGGTAGTAGAAGCAAATATATTAGACTCATTTACAAAACTACTTGATGTCATAATGGGAAGAGTTGTATTCAAGACGAAATGGCAGAAGGGCCTTCTTCATCCAAATCTTTTTTGATGTTGTAAAATTCTTGTGATGTTGCAGTAAACATGTGATTTACTTAATCCTTCAGTGATTACAAATATAGCATGTAACTGGCATAAATACACTTTTAATCACTCTTGTCTATCTGTGTTGAGTATTTGTATAATAATTTGTATAACTGATCAACAGAGTATAGTTTTATTAAGCTTAGGTGATTCATGTTATGTAGGATATTACAGTTTTGAGCTAAAATGCCTTTTTACAAGCAGAAATTATGAAACATTTCTTCCTAACATTTGAGGAATTGTTATGGTTAATGTGGTGAGGAATTGATTTGGAAAAAAGCTGTGATTTAGTAGTGGAAAGCAAAACAGTGTTAGGTTAAGATGGAGCTGTTAGATGAGGGCAGGCAATGCTATTCTAAGCCTCTGGCAAGCAAGCCTTGATCATACAGGCTGAGGTCCAAGGCTACTGGAGTTGAGATCTTCACAATAGGACTTTTGTTTTGTGCAGCTTCTGTGTATTTTGCTACTGAACTCCTGTCAGGAATTGTGATACTATTACACAAAGTAATGAGTGTGTGGGAGTGATTACAATGGAAGTAATCCCATTGTGGGGTTCAGGTGACAATAAACTACTTGAGCTTTGCTCTCAAGATTTTTTTGTAATCAATCTCACCCACTCATTCTTCACCGTATAGTTTCAAGGGACTGAATAATAAAATGGGTCTTTTGTCAGACAATGCCTGCAGAATGTCGGGATCAATGGTGTAATGTATCCAGATCCTTAAGTGTACAAACTAAGGCAGTAATTCACAAGAAATGAGCAAATGTATTTAGGCTTGCTATGCATTCACCCACTGGGTCATTGACAGACCTGAGGGATACAGCACATCAAACCACCTTTATAATGGCGTTTAATAAACAGTCTACTTGAATCACTGCTGAGCAGCCACCAGCAAAGCATCTCCAATGTGATCAGCATTTTCTCCCCTGGAAAGCCCTGTATGTCACAACCTTGCGAAGTTTCAACTCTTGAGATATCTCATCTACCCTCTTCTCGTTGCCCAGTGGCCGAGGCTTCCGTCACTGTGTCTCTAATCTCTGGAACTCCATGCCTCTATCCCTCTGCTGCCTCTAACCCTCGCTTTGCCCCCTCTTTATCTGTCCACCTGTTAAACCTACTTATTTGACCAACAACAAGATTACATTTGTATAGGGACCTTGATTATGAGGAAAGGCTAGAGAGGTTAGGATTATTCTCATTGGAGCAGAGAAGGTTACGAGGAGGTCTTCAAAATCATGAGGGGATTTGATAGGTTAGAAAGGGAAAAACTGTTTCCACTGGTGGGTGTGTCGGTGACTCGAGGTCACAGATTCAAAATAGTATCTAAAAGAAACAGAGGGGAGGTGAGAAGAAATGTTTTCACGCAGCGAGTTGTTCGAATCTGGAACACATTGCCTGAAAGGGTGGTCGAGGCCGATTTGATAACTACTTTTAAAAATGCGGTGGAGGGTATTTGAGGAGGATGGGTTTGCAGGGTTATGGGGAAAGGGCTGGGAGTGGGATTGACATTACATTGCTCTTCTCAAAGAGCAGGCACAGACTCGATGGGCCGATTGGCCTCTTTTTGTGCTGAAAAGAAAAGCGCCTTTCACGTCGGGAGGACATCCCAAGGCGCTGGACCACACCTATGATCACCTCCCTCTTCTCCCTTTCTCGGCTTCCAACCCCACCATTGTACAGAACTCCAAGATTACACAATCCTATGTGAAAGATACTATATAAATATAAATCATTGTTAAGTTTCTACCTTTAAACACAGTGTGAGTTATCCTATTCAGTAAAGAATTTACATTCGATTATATTGCTTTATCACATTGAGTTATCTCGAAGGCTTTCATAAATAATCCCTGCCTAGTGTTATGAATGTCTTGTAGACAAATGTGACAAGGATTTGCACTAGCAAGGTCCAACAAACAGCCATAAGGTGGGCCAATGGAGGATTTGTTGATTGGGAGAAAGTTTCTTTTTGAATATGGTCCTGGAATCTTTGACGTCCACCTGCAGACGTCATTTGTATTTTGTTTATTTTCTGCAAAAATAACAGTCATTTCTTTTATATTTCAGATGGGCTGATAAATTCAGTGCCAAAGGTTGCCATGAATCAAAGGAACATAAGTTCAATCATCCCTTCCTTCAGGTGTGTTACATAAATTATGTTACAGCATTGAAACAGGCCATTTGACTCAAGTAATCTGTACTGGTGTTTATACTCCACATGAGCCGCTGTGCATCCTAATCCCCTCCAGATATTACAAATAAGAGTGTTCTTTTGTTGAGTGACATAGGGGAATGATAAAAGCACTATGGGCATACATCATTTGGATTTCTGTGGTGAATAAGGGACAGTGCAGATAAAAGTGGGTGTTTCAATTCTCACTCCATACTTTCTTATGCTGTTGTATCATTACTGCAGCTCATTGTTCTTTCTCTTATGGTCCATAAAAATAGCTGTGTGTTTCCTTGTACATCAAGTGGTAGATTGCGCAACATGCAAACACTTTGTGAAAGCCATCGAGTGCAATTTTAGAGAGGAATGTTGGGGAGTAGGCCCTGCCTGTGATCTCTGAGTTTGACCCAGCCTATGTTGGTGACATGGAAGATATCATTCTCTATCATCTATGAAGATTCAATGTGAAATTTACTGAGGCTTCCTCCAGACATTTCCTATTAGGTATATCTGCACATCACTAAAGCACCTAGAATTTTGCATTGAATTGCCTGTTTCACTTCAGCTGATGTGGAGAATAATAACAACAAAATTGCATTGGTAAAGCGCCTTTCACGTCGGAAGGACGTCTCAAGTTGCTGAACAGTCAGGGATCAGGACCCGAGTGTGGGGGGACACAGTTGGGATGAGGGAGGGCAGAGGGGGTAGGAGGGCGGCCGAAGGCACGATCAAACAGGAGGGTCTTGAGTCGTGCCTTGATGGAGGCAAGAGAAGGGACAAGGCAAAGGGATTGTGGGTTGGAGTTCCAAAGAGTGAGGGCAGAGAGGCTGAAACCCTGGACGCCGATGGTAGCGCTGGTAGGGCAGGAGACCTGGAGCAGGCCGGAGCCTGCTGAGTAGAGGGAACGGACAGGCTGATAGGGGGTCAGCAGGTCAGAGATGTAGGAGGGGGCAAGGCCAAGGAGGGCATTGAAAGTGAAGAAGAGGTTGTAATAACAACAATAATCCTTAGATTTGGTACAACGCCTTTCACTTTGGGATGACATCAAAGCACTTCACAGGATATACTGTAAAGCGGAGTGACTGCATGTTTTGTGGGTGAAGGTAGCAGCCAATTTGCATAGCAATATCCCATAAACAACCATGAAGTGAATGACTAATTTTATTTGGGGGATTTTTGGTTCAAATAAATAATTTATAATTGAGGTGGGAGGCGGCTGAGGTTAAAGCAGATGTTTTGCCTACAAATGTAGTCACTACATTTTGCTGCAACTTTGTAAAGCACTTCTTGACGTTGTCAGTGTTGTATTGAATCACAAGGATTATTATTGTTTGAGATAGTTTGGAGAGCTTCACATTGTTTATATCCTTTGCTGTACCTGACGTAGGTATACTAGGAAAACAATTCAATATGAAACAAAATCATGTTGGTGGAGGTTAGAAAATTGTTAGAGTGTAGATTGACTTATCAATACATATAAATGGCTATTAAGACTGAAACCACAACTATGTGTGTACAAATTGTGCAGGGAGGGAAAGATCAGGGGATTAAGATCAAAGCAGTTAGCCGCAGTGGATAAACTGCCACCATTCTAGACTTGATGATTCGAGTGGCCTCCTACAGTCCTGTAATTTTCAAGAGGCAAACTAAGCATGATGTGGGCCTATTCTGAAGGCTTGTAGTGAGAACACTGAAATTCTCTCACTTTTCAACAACAGTTTACATTTATTCAGGTTTTTCACATCAGGAGGATCTCAAAGCACTTTACACAACTGACTGAGGATTGGCTGAAAGCACGGTCGAAGAAATGGGTGTTAAGGCAGGTTTTTGAAGGGTAGGCGTGGGGGTAAGGACAAAGTGGAGGGACTCAGGGATGGAATTCCAGAGAGCTGAAGCTGAGGCAGAATGACTGAAAGCTCTCTCATCAATGGTGGGGTGGGGATCGGGTGGGGTTTGCTATCGGTTCGGTAGTCGGAGGAGGCCAGAGGTAGGATGAGCAGAGGTCGGGAAGGGATTCAACCTCGAGACAAAGATTTTGAATTTGATCTGTTAGGGATGGGGAGCCAAGGCACTGAGATTCTGCACTGGCTCAATGAGGTGAAGTGAGCACAGGTGCAGACTGATGAGGTCAGTGCCTGAGATGCCCGCTGTGTAGAATTGTTTTTAAAAAAAATCAAATTGTTCTTTTCAAAATGTGACAATAATACTTTGTGAAGTTTTCCTCCATTTCCAAGTTGTGTACATTGTACCCAGCAACAAAACCGAGGTTGGGATGAAACTTCAGCGTAGCTTGACAGCTTACTCAAGACCCCTCCCTCCCTGAAGAGGGGTTTTTGGAAATGAATTGGCAAAAGCACCTGAGAGGGATATTTCCAGGGAAAGGAAAAGTAAGACTGGATAAAATATGTGTGCTCTTAATTGGATTTTATTCTCGTCTCTTTCCAGGCTGTGGGCATGTTCCTCGGGGAATTCTCCTGTTTGGTGGTGTTCTACATCGTTTTATGCTATGATCGACGAAGACCAGAACCAAAAATGGCACCTTCCAGACAGTTTAACTCTTTCATTTTCCTACCGCCAGCTCTGTGTGACATGACTGGCACATGCATCATGTATATTGGTGAGTAGCGACTAGATTACGGTGTAAACAATGCAATGTACTTTATATTACGCATATAGTGCCTTTCACATCGGGAGGACGTCTCAAAATGCTTCACAATCTAGGCATCTGAGCCGCAGTGGGCAGGAGCCGCAGCGGGCGGGAGCTGAAAGAATAATAATAAACGTAACTATACAATCAGTTCCAATTAGAATGCTGTGTCATGTTCACTGATCGCTGAGGTCGCATGAAATCTTTATGGCTCTAATGCTGATAGAGAATTTAACATCCACCCGAACATTAATGGTGCAGTAATAATAATTCTTACATTTGGTGTAGCGTCTTTCACATCCGGAGGATGCCTCAAAACACTTCATGGGATTTACTATAAAGTAGAGTGATTGCATTTTATGGGGGAAATGTTGCAGCCAATTTCCTGGACAGTAACGTCCCATAAACAGCCATAAAGTGAACTATCTTTTTAAATGGAAAATTGTTGGTTGGGAAATCAGGAGCAATTTTTTTGATGTTTCGAAGAGTGCTATAAGAGCTTTCACATCCACTTTGAATCGGCAGACCAGATCTAGATTTCACATTTAATCTGATAGGTGGCATCTCCAGCAATGCACTATTTGTCAGCCTAACCCAGTTGATAGCTCTCTTACCTCTTAGTCAGAAGCTTGGGTTCAAGTTACACATCGGGACTTGAACTCACATCGTCTCACCTTACATTCCATTGCAGTCCTGCGGGGTGTTGTGTTGTCTGAGTTGCTGTCCTTTGGAAGAGACTTTAAACCGAGCTTTGGTCTACCTGTTCAGGTGGATGTTAAAGATCTCATGGCACTATCCAAAAAGAGAAGGGAGTTGCTCCCAGTGTCCTGGCCAACATATCCCACAAATAAATTTGTGTGACATTCCTGTGCACAATTGGGCTGCTGTGTTCTCCTACATTTTACACTGCATTTTACAGTAAATCCTGTGAGACACTTTGGAACATTCTCCAGATGTGAGACGCAAATGCTTGGATAATTATTATTTTTATTATTGTTGGAGTGTTAGTTTGGAATATGACCTCTAAAATCCTGACCTGAATTGGGAGAAAGTATTTCCATTGGGAAAGAAGTCAGTGACTAAGGACCATAGTTGCAAGATAGTAACAAGAAGAGCGAAAGGAGAGCTTAGGATAATTGTTTTCACTCATCGACTTGTTGGGATGCGGAATGCCTAGTAAGGTTGTAGAGGCAGGGACAATAATAATAATAATTCTTGCATTCGATATAACGCCTTATCGCGTTGATGTGAAAGTTCAAAGTGCTTCACTGGATATACTGTTATGGTACTTTGTAGTTGAAGCCATTATTGGTTTCAAGAATAAAGTAGGCAGACAGAAGGATAGAGGCTTGAAGGGATATGGGGTAAGGTAGGGCAGTGGGATTGAAGGAACATTTTCCTCTTGAGAGTCTTTGCAGACTCAATGGGCCAAATGGCTTCCATCTGTGCAGTAAAAGTCTGTGATTCTAAATGCACTGTATGGTGAAACATGGGAGCCATACAGAACAGCAAGTCTTTAGGCACAATCCCTCACTTCTGTACTGAGTTAACAACTCTGATAGAGCAATGAGTAGCAAAAGTTGGTCACAGCATCCTGAAGTGTGGGAGTGAAAAACCAAACAACTCCTGCTAGAAAATGTGGATGTGTTAATGCTCATATAGACCCCATCAACTTCAGTTGTCATGGTAGAGAAGCATTGTGGAGTTCTGTAGCTCAGTGGTTAGAGCACTCGCTTTGCAAGCGAGAGACCTGAGTTCAATTCCAGGCAGGTCAGGGCGAAACCTTAGGCAAGTTTCCTTACTCCACACACCTAATAATAATCCCTCCAAAAACCAAAAACAATAATAAATTGGTCATTTTAAATCTATGACTGTTTGTGGGACATTGCTGTGCGCAATTGGCTGCCGCATTCGCCCAAAAATATAAGTCAATTCACTTTACAGTGTGTTCTGTGAAGCGCTTTGGGACGTCCTCCCGACGTGAAAAGCGCAATATCAAATGTAAGGATTATTATTATAGCAACGTTGGCTATCTAGGCTGAAAGAGTGAAGTCTGGTTGCTACTAAGAAGAGGATGTAGGAGCTGCCTAAAAGAGAAGGAAGAGGAAAACCGTTTGAGGTGGAAACATTCTGAAAATACTTTGCACATGTTGATTACTCGTGTGGGTCCATTGGGCGTGGCAGATATGAAATCTATACATGTCTAGAATGCATATAACAGGAAAGCTACATAACAAATAGTGCTGTTACTACAGCTCAGCTCCAGTCGGAAAAGAATAAGGGGTCGTGTGGTGAGAGGGAGACAGTTACTGCCATAAGGAGGCTATTTTTATTGTGACCGCCTCAGATTGTCTTTCTTTCATTTTATAAACCTGTGTTTATAAAGAGGTTACCAAATTGCTGCCTTTGAGACATCATCCACTGAGAGTAGCAAGCCAAGCAGAGACTGACTCTTAAAGACTGCAGCATTTATCACTGTTAGGTATGACATTTGACATTTATTTATGATCGGCAAGAGAGTCACAGATTGCGAACCGATTTAAGCATAATTGTTAGTTTTAAAGAGCAACATATGTCAAACTAGGTCAAGTTTTCAAAGCAAAATAAATGATTGTCGTTTCTAATACTACAGGAGGGAGCAATTGCACCTTGTCAGATTGCACCTTGAAAAAGCATTTTATCGAAGGTTCAAACATTTCTGAAGCCACTGTTCAGAACGGGGTTAACTTTGAACTTTGAATAGAGAGATGAAGCAATGCATGGAATAGGAGTACAAGGATTAGATTGGAGCTCTGTTGATCTCCCCCTGCTGAATTGGAAAATGGTACTGAGCAATTCTCCCTTCTAGAAAACCAACCATCCTTTGGATGAGACATTAAACCGAGGTCCCATCTGCCTGTTCAGGTGCATGTTAAAGATCTCATGGCGCTATTCGAAAAGAGAAGGGAGTTTCTCCCGGTGTCCTGACCAACAATCCCCCAAATAAAATTGGTCACTCACTGCATTGCTGTTTGTGGGACATTGCTGTGTGCAACTGGTTGCTGGGTTTCTCGCACTAAATACACAGTCCATCCACTTTACAGTATTTGCTGCGAAATGCTTTGAGACCTCTCAATGATGTGTCAAATTCAAGGATTATTTTTTTCTTTTTCATCTACTCATGTTCTATGGCAACAGAGTGAGGAACGAGCTCAGAGTTAGGGATTTCTCAGGCAGGCCATTGTGGAACCTTGCACCTGGTTAATCTGGCAGTGTCGATGGCAGAAGAGAATCTAGTTCTTTATTACCTAATAATAATCCTTGCATCTAAATGCAAGTATTATTATTATTATTAGTTATTCTCACAGCCCCGTTTCGCAGTTGTACCTGGTTATCCTGGCAGATCATCAGAGGAACCTGCACTTAACTCCGAGAGTCCACTAAATCAGTCCACCTCTGTAAGCTTTTGCCTTACTGAATCACTCGCAATTCCCCAGTCCCAAGCATTTTAAAATGAGGGATTTGATAAATTTCAAATTATCAAAAAACAATTTGCTTACTCAATCCATGACTGTTTGTGGGACGTTGCTGTGCGCAATTGACTGTGGCATTTCACCCACAAAATATACAGTCAATTCACTTTACAGTATATTCTGTGAAGCGCTTTGAGACGACTCGAAGATGTGATAAGGCGCTACATCAAATGCGAGGATTATTGTTATAGCTATATTAGGATTAGTGGTGGTTAACAGGAGTGTGTGATGAGCAACTTGTGTAACTCCCTGACTTGTCTAGCAGAGAGAATTCAGGGATGTAAATACAGTATTTATGATAGAGTATGAGAAGAGGAATACCCAGGACATTTCAACCCAGAGGCAGGATGCTACTAACCAAGCCAAGCTGACCCTTACTTAGCATGGTCAAGCTTCAACTCTAGTCTGAATCAAGGTTAGAACTGCATCAAAATGTCCCTGATTCTGAGCTTTCATTGTAATTCTTTTTGGTTCCAGCTTTAAACATGACAAGTGCGTCCAGTTTCCAGATGCTGCGTGGGGCTGTGGTGATCTTCACTGGCATGCTGTCTGTTGCCTTCCTGGGGCGTCGTTTGGAGGTCAGCCAGTGGATAGGGATCATCTTCACAATCCTTGGACTGGTGGTGGTGGGGCTCGCAGACTTCCTCAGTGGCAGCCAGGACTCTGGGCACAACACAACTGAGGTGATAACAGGTAATACAAATTGCTTCTCCTCATCCTTTGTGTAGAAGATCTAAAGCTTTACATCAATAGGAGCACATTTTCTAGTTTTATTTTCCAGGAGAAAATAATCCTATGACGGAGACTGCACAAGCCTTTCTCCCCTGGGAAAGGATGTAGCGTAAAGAACGTAGAGAGATTTAGATGTAGATTGTTGGGCTGATAATAACAAGCATTAGTGAAGCAATGAGACTGTGCCAGTAGAATAAATGGTAGGAATGTTAAAATGCTAACTGACATGTAGGAAGCAAAAATAGCTGCCTTTTGAGTCATCTGGCCGCTGCCACTGTCACTTTTTGTATGCTAGGCATTACACAGCCTGCAGGAAGTGACGTGAGTGGTAACCTGGTGACCAGGAAGGTAGCCAGTTTTTTTTATATATAGCCTAAAGCTGGCCAGTATTTTGAAGCGAGCAGCTTTCTGCACTGCAGTGAAGGCCAGTGACGGTGAATGTGCTGACTGGGCATTGTGCACTATTATAATGCTAATTGGGATTCTATGGATCCCAGCTACTGTGTTGGAATGGGGCTCTACAGTATGTGGAAGTCAAGTTTCCTCTATATTTAGGGTAGGTTGTAATGCAGCTATGTATCTTTTTATTAAAACCAGAATCGCTTTGCTCCAGAAACCATCCTGTTGACAATTTAAATCAGTACTCAATCTGAAATTGCAATGAATTCTAGCAAAGTGGACTATTTCTTATTCACTCCTGTGATTAAGAAATCACACAGAAATGTGTATTTATGGTATTAGAGTATTGGAATCAATGGGAAGCTTGTTCTCGTTGCAGATTGGACCGGAAGGAAGAAGGCTTTAGCCAAGCTCGCTATCCCAGTACCAAACTTGATATTGATCTAAGATGCCTAGTACTATTGTCAGTCTTTGGGTTGCAATAGAGAGTTCATGAGTAGAAGCTTCACACTATAGATTTCTCCAATCAAATTAAAAGGCATAACAATCCAGGAACTGGATAATGAACTAATTAATGAAAGGAATCCAAGAGTGCATGTTCGAGGTATTTTGTCAGACTCTGGTTTCTGTGAGGGAGGAGTGGCTGTTAAACTGACCTAATCTAGGCTCACACTCCAATGGAGTTCTGGGGGAGCAGGAACCCTGCATTGTGAGACATCTTGTCCTTCGGATGAGAGGTTAAATCCAGGTATGTTCTGTCTGTTCAGGTAAAGATCCCATGGCACTACAGTAAAAAAGCACGATAACTTAAGTGGTCGTGACAAGTTAAGACACGGTCAAGTTATTAGGAGTTTACTGCATTTGAAAAGAGAAAGGAGTTTCTGCTCCTATCCGGGCCAACAGCTCCCAAATAAAATTGGTTGTTCACTTCATGTGGGACATTGAGGTGCTCAAATTGGCTGCCACGTTTGCCCACAAATACACAATCACTACACTTTACAGTAAAATCCTGTGAAGCGTTTTGAGATGTTTCAGTGATGTGATAAGGCTCTATGTCAAATGCAAGGAGTATTTTATATTAATCCTTGCATTGATATGGTTCTTTTTACATTGGGAGGACTTCTCATAGTGAAACATAGGATTTTACCGTAAAGTGTAGTGACTGCTTATTTTGTAGTTATTTTATAACTCTGCAGCCTGTGTCCACTCCCGCACCAAATTCTGTGACCCCATCTCCCCTACTCTCGCCCGACACCTGGCTCCCTATCCTTCAGAGGATCCAGTCCAAGATCCTGGTCCTCACATACAAAACCCTCCATGGCCTCGTCCCACCCTACCTCTGTAACCCCCTACCAACCCGCCCGCTCTCTCCACTCAGCCGGCTCCGGCCTGCTCCATGTCCCCCGACCCACCCGCCCCACCATTGGTGGGAGAGCCTTCAGCCACTCTGTCCCCAACCTCTGGAATTCCATCCCCCAATCACTCTGCCTCGACCCTCCTTAGCCTCCTTCAAGTCCCGGCTCAAAACCCTCCTCTTCAACTATGCCATTGGTCAACCCCCTTCCCCCCCCCGACCCCAGCTCGGGTCTGAAATGCTGTGCACTGTCCAGTGCCTTGGGACGTCCTCCCGACGTGAAAGGCGCTGTACAAATGTAATCTTGTTGTTGGAGGTGAATCTATACTAAATGATATCAAAGAGAAAAAAGTAGCATTCAGGATGAGTCTGATTGCAATGTGGTATAATGTTTCCTTTAAACTTGTTTCTAAAATCTTGTGGTCATTTGTACTTGAATCAAGGTATCCTGCAATGGATCATTTAGCAAGCAGAGTGTGGCTGGGGTTCTTGTTTGATTTCTCACCTTTTCCCTTTAACTCCTATAGGTGATCTCCTCATTATCATCGCCCAGATTATTGTTGCTATCCAAATGGTTTTGGAAGAGAAATTCGTTTCCAAACATGATGTACACCCGCTTCGAGCTGTGGGCACAGAGGGTATGTAGAGTTCTGGTCCTAACCCAGTCTAGGTTGTGGTGCTGCCTATTTCATACAAAGCCATGGTACATTAGGTAGCTTTCAAAGCACTGAAGCAAGAACCTTATAATACTCTTATCTCTCCTATTTGACGAATGGTGCAGTCTTTCAGTACTTGCATGACAAAGCATTTTAGGAGCTTTATCTATAAAATGCTGTGATACCTCTGTCTGCAAATCGAAAAAAACTCAACACCAATCACTGATACCCAATTAGTTTTGTATTTATGTAAAATAATGTTTGGGACTCTGACATAGTTTCACAGATTGATGACATTAATATCATTCAAGCTTCATTATTGCAATTCCATATGTCATCACAATCTCTGAAGATACATTTTATTACATTTTATAATGCATTAATGGCTGTCTATTCTTTTTGAACCTTGTAAATAGAAATGCAATACAAATTTACATTCAGGGGAGAGAGCGGGGAAGTGGGATTGATTCGGATAGCTCTTTTCAAAGAGCCGGCACAGACACGATGGACTGAATGGTCTCCTTCTGTGCTGTAAAATTCTATGATGATATAGCGCCTTTCATGTCCAGAGGGGATCCCATGGTGCTGGGCAGTCCAGAGTTTACTTCAAAGCTGGGCATGGGGGTGAGAGAACAAAGTGGGGGAAGATGGCTGAAAGCGCAGTCAAAGAGGAAGGTCTTGAGGCGGACCTTGAAGGAGGGAAGGGGTAAGCCAAAAGGACTTCAGGATGGAGTTCCATAGAGTGGGGGCAGATACGCTGAATGATCGTCTGCCAATGTTGAGGCAGGGCATGTGAAGCAGGCCAGTGCCCATTGAACGGAGTTGAGTAGGTGGGTTGGTATTGTTTGAGGAGGTCACAGCGATAGGGTGGGGCAGGACCATGTAGGAAGTTAAAGGTTAGGATGAGGATCTTGAACTCAATCTGTTGGGGAATCGGGAGCCAATGTAGCCAGGTGAGGATGAGGTGCCTAGCACAGCAAGGATACGAGCTGCAGAGTTCGAGATAGTCTGCAGCTTGTGGAGGGAAAAAGCGAGTGGTCTGGTGAGCAAAGTTGGCATAGTCTAGCCTAGATATGTTGAATGCGTGGATTAGACTCTTGGTGGCCCGAGGGGAGAGGTAGGAAAGTTAAGCAGGTCAGAGCACAGATGTAGAGTTTAAAGGGCATTTGAGAGTTGAACTGGATACCGAGGTTCCACATTGGCTCTGTGAGGTAGAGTGTACACCCACATATGGTGAAGCTGTCTGTGCTGAGATGACGAGAAGCTGATTGGAGCCAAGCAGGAGGGCCTCTGTCTTGTCAGCGTTCAACTGGGGAACGTTAGAGCTCATCCAGGACTCATCCATGTCTCACTGGCAATTGGTCAGAACAGCAATAGTGCTAGAATTGAGGGTAGTAAAGTTGGTTGTCATCCACATACATCTGGAAGGAGAGGAGATTCACTTTCATGACTTGGGCGATTTTAGCTTGTCCACATATTTTAAGCTCTACTGTCCCTCACATAATAACCTTCACTGACCTATTTAGAGTGAAGAAGTGTAAGCTATGACTGTCCAGTGCCTTAAAATGGATGGTTTCCGTCTGGGGATTGGAGAGCCGGAAAGAAACTTTTACAAACCTTTATGGAGAAAGTTAGCAAGCTCACTAAAATAATTAAAACTCCAGCGACAGTTTGTTAAATGGTTAAGCTTATAAAGACAAATAATATTGGTGCTGGGGGGAAGGGGGTTGTGTAAATATTTTGCAGATTAAATATTTTGCACCTCGGGTCAACTTCAGGTGCTCCTGTGTAACAGATTACATGCAGAGTTGAACACCCTCTCCACCACTCAGCTGGGTGCCTCACACACTTTATCTTGTTCTCTCTCACTCTCTTACACATTCACTGTCTCTTACACACTCTGTCTATCTGTCGCGCTCTCTCTCTCCCAGATGCACAAAATCTGAAGAGCCTTTGAGTTCCTTTGCACCAGTCTGAAATTCCAATTTCTTGCTCAGCCAACCTTGTAGTCATTCTGACACTAGCAATTTAGTGCAAGTTCATGACTAAAGTTGTATTTTTAAACAAAAACATTGAATTGCTCTGTTGCACTTATTACCCAAGTGTTCTTATAGGAGGCAGAGTTCCAAACACCGTGTTATATCTGGAGGATTTTAATTTGCATTAGTGTTGCTTCTGTGCTGCATTTTAATACATGTCCCTGTGGCTGGGCAGAATGCACAATTTTGCTGCCAGAAAGGAGCGTTTGATTTGGCTTCTGGCTTGGCTGCTAAGTATCATATTGTGGTGCTACTGCCATCTAGTGGCAGCCAAACAGAAGCAAACGGTTGACAAGGGAAGAAAGACACAAAAACAAACTCATGATTGTTGTCGATATATTCTCGTCGATCCAATCAAGTCAACGGTTGAGGTTAAGGAGAAGCTTTAAATTTGAAGCTTGAAAGTGTGCATCGATCCTGGGATAACACAAGCACAAAAATAATTCGAAGAAGCAATTGGGAGGAAAAATATCCAGTCTTAAATAGGTTTTTATATTCCTTGCCCATGTACACTTTCAATCCACGTTTACCTTTGTTGCTTTCAGCTCAAGTTGCCTGGGGGCATTGTTTAAAAGTTAACCCCTGTTCTCTTTCTTAATTCAGGAATTTTTGGATTTGTTATCCTCACCCTGCTGTTATTTCCAATGTACTACATCCCTGCGGGTCAATTTAGTGGCAACCCCAGAATGGTCCTTGAAGATGCTTTGGATGCCTTCTGTCAAATAGGGAAAAAGCCATTAATAACTGTGGCTCTCTTGGGAAACATCTTGAGCATCGCATTCTTCAACTTTGCTGGTATTAGCGTCACAAAGGAAATTAGCGCGACCACACGGATGGTTTTGGACAGTCTACGGACCTTAGTCATCTGGGTAGTAAGCATAGCAGTAGGTTGGGAAACATTCCACCCTCTACAGATACTAGGCTTTACCGTCCTATTGGTGGGTACGGGACTCTACAATGGGCTCCATAAACCACTACTGTTAAAGATTCCCTGGTGCCGGGAGCGTGTTGGGGAATCCTCTGAGAGTGAACGGTTGTTGGCGGGAAACCAAGCCTCCATCAACGATGGTCAGTGAAACATCAGTGGATTAAAGCTTTCTGCTTATAATGGCTCTTTTCAACTGATAGATGCCTTTACTTTAAAAACTGTTCAAATATTGTTTAAGGATGAATAGGAAGATGGAATTTATATAATACACAACTGAAATCTCAATTTTCTTTTCACAGCTGAGATTTAAAGAATAACTTTTTTTAGTTTTATGTATTTCTTAAGGAAGCACCACCATCTCAGTATGATATTGTGGATGAATGACTAGCGATGAGCAAGAGGTCTGCATAAATTAATAACTGCTCAAGTAATGTTTTGAATCTCAAGAATTTATGTTGCACAGAAGATTGAACAATGAGGATTGACTACAGAAGTTTATTTGTGAGGCTTGGTTTATATTTTGTTTATAGCTTTTTAAACTCCTAAGATTAGATTTCTGCCATCAAACAGACCAGGGTATTTTTTTAAATAAATACTGTAAATTTTATGGGAAAGTTCAATTAATTTCTGCCATTGAGTTCCAAGTCAATGCATAGAGAGATTCATGCAGAAGGATTAACAGTGTTGACATAATTGCAGGTTTAACTAAAGGAAAATAATTAGTTTCTGGCAAATTATATGCCAATGTATATTCAAAGTAAATTGTTTTGCGGTTTGAAAGCAGGATTATCAAGAAATTAATAGTATATTGTATCGCTCCCTTTCTATGAATACTGCAGCCTTGTTTGTCCAGTGATATTTGTCAAGCTTGCTACTTCTACAGTGGTTCAAACCTATTCATCTCTTACGCATGAGATAGCCTCAGGATAATGTACTCAATTGTTACACAGTGATGTACCTTATGGGAACATTTTTGTAGCTACCATTAATTATAAATTCTACCCCCATTTCCACTATCACTATAAAACAGAGATGGGTATTAAATATTTCTGGATTTTTTTCAATATCGCTACCACCCAATCTTGTTAAAATAAGCACCACAGTGTTTTTCCCTTTCCAAGAACGCACACTGTAGTCCTTTTTGTGTACTATTTTGTGCCTGGGCCATTGATAGTTAATGGTTCAACCCACACAACAGAGGATAAATGTTGCCTCAATCACTTGGGTGCACTGGAGGTGAAACCTGTGTGTTTATAAATGTTTGTACTGCTAAGCACCATAGAAATGATTGGGGAAGCATCATCTTTTCTGCCATGCTCTTAAGTGGAGTACCTCGGTTTACACATTGCACATTAGTCAGTATTGAAATACGCTGGGTCCTCCAGAATACCAAACACGATTGGCTAAGTCTCTGACTCAGTTTAAGTACTTTCCATTATGTTCTGCTGACTCACTGCATGAAGAGGGCCATCATTTTCATCTTGTTATAGCAGAGAGCAGTAAGCACATGAAATGCTCTGAAAGTTCTTAAGGGGCCATCAGACTTTTCAGCATCTCTCCAGAAGTGCACCTGCAACTGAACTCTTCAGTTCACTTGTCCCTGAAGCCTTGCTTGTCATTGTATAAAAAGGGAATAAGTTGCAAATCATTTGTACCTTTTTTAATCATTGGTACTGTGAATAAAGTTTGAACTGTTTTCAGTGTATAATTTTATCTGAAGCATTTTTGCTTTTAACAGGAATAAGTGAACCTTTCTTGGAAAAGGTATCACCTGCCAAAAGTGGCAAATCTTTATGTGGCTGTCTTTCAACTGAGAGCCACCTTGTTTTGCCCAAATTGAGCCCAATTCTAATGCTCCTGGTGCCAATATAAGTGAGCTCAACTAACTCAACATAGCCCAGGGATTTAACCTGCAACATTCTGATTGTGTAATGTTCGGGTATTCTGGATAAACACATTGAGCTCTTGAGTTTGCTGCAATGAGCACACTGTTTCCGCGTGCCCTACTGACATAACTCTTATCTATTAAAGAGATGTATCCATGTACTTTTTAAACATGTTGGTTAATATTTTATGTTGTCCAGACTCTTATAACATTGGCTGTTATTGTGGAATCTTGTTTATTCAAAATAATAAATAATACAAATCAACATAAATTGAAAAAAAATCTGATTGAAAATCAAGTGTGCTTTTAATTACAGTCTCCCATTGCACTATTTATTGATGGTATGTATGTGCTTTGTATTACTCAGACATACAAAGCAAACACTTGTAACTGATTTGAATCATTAAATTATTTTCATTTGTGCTGTCCTTTCTTGCTTTAGGTAAATGGTTTGCATTTCAAACGTATCTGTTCAGGACTTGTGCTAACTTCAAAAAAGACCACAAAGCTAGTGGCACAAACTAGTCATTTCCCAACTAAATTGCTTTCTTTTTAGAGAACTTCTAGCAATGTAAATCCTCAACTGCAATTATAATAACCTATGTACTCAATATCACCCATAATGTCTCAAAGTGCTTTGCAAGGTTGTTATAAAGTAGTGGCTGCGTATTTGTAGACAAATCAATTTTTGCACATTGTTATCAAACAGCCATGAACAACAAAATAATTTTACATTTGGATGGTGCTTTTCATGTTTGGAGGACGTCGCAAAGCTCTTCACAGAATCATCTGGGAGCCCAAGCTGGGGGAGAGGTGCAATGTTTACCGAGCAGCTGGGTTAGAAGCGGTAAAGTGAAATACCAATTTTATTTGGGAGATTATTGACTAACACAGGAACAAACTTCTCTTTTCAAATATTGCCATGGGATCCTGAACAGGTACAGATGGAAACTCGTTTTAGCTTTTCAGCCAAAGGATGGCAAATATAATAATGTAGTACTCCCCCAGCACTTGTTTCATTTTATCAAAATTGTTTTCTACTGTTATTTTATCAAAATTGTTTTTTACTGTTATTTTTTTTTAAAAATTTTAAATGATTTTTAAAGATCATAAAACATGCAGTGCACTGTATAAATGTAAATTGTAATGTACAGTTCGCCCACAAAATAGTCAATTCACTTTACAGTATATTCTGTGGCGTGTTTGAGACATCTCAAAGATGTGATAGAGCGCTATACCAATGCAAGGATTATTATTGGCTGATTGAGTTCTGCAGCTGGCCACGGGAAGGTGCGTAAGAGGCATACTCTAACTCTTCAACACTTGGAGCTGAAAATTATATTAGGCAAATGGTCCGTGAGTAATGGGGGCTGGAAGATAATAATAATAATCCTTGCATTTGATATAGCGCTTTTCACGTCGGGAGGATCTCCCAAAGTGCTTCACAGAATATACTGTAAAGTGAATTGACTGTATATTTGTGGGCAAACGCGGCAGCCAATTGCGCACAGCAATATCCCACAAACAGTCGTAGATTGAAAATGACCAATTTATTATTGTTTTTTGTTTTGGAGGCATTATTATTAGGCGTGTGGAGTAAGGAAACTTGCCGAAGGTTTCGCCCTGTGCCTGGAATTGAACTCAGGTCTCTCGCTTGCAAAGCGAGTGCTCTAACCACTGAGCTACAGGACTCGGATGGCACACCTTAAGACATGAACGTTGTATTTTTCAGTGTTAGTCTCTGATTGGGTAAAATCTGACTGTAGGACCTTAGTCAATCAGAAGCCACTTTCAGAATGAGGCCCTGCTCCTGGATCAGCCAGTGTAATGATCACAAGATTTACATAAAGAAGGGTCCTTGGCTCATCCTTCCACCTACAGTTCCCCCCATCACAACACCAATCTGCTTTTTAAATCAGTCCAGTGTCCTGGCTTCAACCACCCTTTCTGGCAACCTGTTCCAGTCATTGATTACCTTGTAAAAATTGCCAACTGGGCAATTCCTGCTGTTTGGTTCCCCATCTCCAAATCACTATTACACTGTAACTTATCCCCAGTAACAGTTTGGAGTCAGATAATAATAATAATCCTTGCATTTAATATAGCCCCTTATCATGTTTTCGACCTGCGTCCTCTGGTTTGTGAGGCGAGTGCTCTAATCACTAAGCTATCGGACTCCACAGATCAGGGCAGAGCTGTGGTGGGACTGGTCCTGAAAAGCCAAATGAAGGTAAGTGAAGATTTGAAGGTTTTTCTTCTCTTATTAGTCTTCTTAAAACAATGATCTACATTCAGTTTGGTTCTATCCACCTAGTGCCTTACCTCCATGGGTATTTTTCATTGTGAGCTTAGGTATCTGTGGCTTAAATTCCAGGAGCTATTCTATGTAGCTACCCAGCGCCTAGGTTCATCTTCCTGACATGAAAGGCAATACAAATTTAATTTGTTACATAGCTCTTTGTGTTTGTGGTCAGAATTTAACTGTCAGGCGCTGACAGCATCACCATCCATGAATGCACACTCCCATCTTATTAAGCCGGTCCGGAATATTGGCATCTTGTTTGATCCTCAACTATCCTTCCTACCCCACATCCGTGCTATGACCCACTTTGCCTCCCCCACCTCCGCAACATCGCCCGGCTCTACCACTGTCTCACACTGCAGGCCGTCGAAACCCTCGAGTGCAGGTGAGGAACAAGTGCATTCATAACATCGAGGCTTAACTATTGCAAACTCCTCTGCGACCTCCTAACCCCCTACCATCCTGTCATCTCCCTCTGCTCAGCAGGTTCTGGCCTGCTTCATGTCCCCTGCCTTCCCCACCGCACCATTGGTGGGTGAGCCTTCTGCCACTCTGCCCCCAACCTCTGGAATTCCATCCCAGTCACTCCGCCTCATCCCACCACCTCTTCCCCTCACCTCCTTCAAGATCCATCTCAAGACCCTCTTTGACTGTTTTTGAACACCTTGTGTCTGTAAAAATACAGACACAAGGTGCTTCCACAACCAGTTTCCAATCAGAGAATTACCAGACGTTTTTTACAATGATTGTCATTCAACAATATCAAAACACATTAAAAATAACTAAAAAAAGTTTGATTTCATGCACATTAACTTTATGATGAATAATAAACAGACGCTGTGCACACAAGGGACTCTGCATTGGACCTTTCAAGGAGCTGAGAGATTTGAGCATTAGTCTCCTTGTTGATCTGAGCATCTCCATTTTTCAGTATGTGAATTGCATTTGGTTTATTTTGACCTAGTTAAATTTGTTTCATTAACATTAAAAACAACTTGTCATGCTTAATGTACAGAACAACCCCATTTGGAGTATAATTGAATCAGACTACTAGGAACATGAGGGGACTCAGTTCAAACTCCTGGGATCACCCATTCAGTATCTTCACTCATTTCAACTTAGTTTTTCTTTCTCGTTGAGTGTATCAACCAACACAAATGCTCATTTCATCTCACCAAGCTGGTTGCGAATCTTGGTGTCGTTCTCAAGCCCCCACCACGCCCCCCCCCATCATTCTTCAAACTCCACAGCCGTGCTCTCACTTGCTCTCAACGAATGGCTTCTCCTCCACCCCCCGTACTGTCTCATGTGGTGTCCCTCAGGGCTCTGTCCTCGGTCCCCTCCTCTTCACCCTCTATATGCTCCCCCTCGGTGACATCATCCGCAGACATGGAGTTAACTTCCACATGTATGCGGATGACACCCAACTCTACCTTTCCTCCTCTACTCTCAACTCCACGACCACCGATGTCCTGACAGCCGCCTGTCCGACATCGAGTCCTGGACGAGAGACAACTTTCTTCAGCTCAACGTGCGAAAAACCGAGGCCCTCCTGATTGGCTCACGTCAGCGCCTCCGCACCTCAGGCGCTGACACCATCAGCATCCAAGGCTGCACTCTCCACCTCTCAAAGCCAGTCAGGAACCTCGGCGTTTTGTTCGACCCTGAGCTGTCCTTTCTCCCTCACATCCGCACTACAACTGGCACCGCCTTCCATCACCTTCGGAACATCGCCAGACTACGGCACTACCTCACCCCTCACGCTGCTGAAACCCTGGTCCACGCCTTTGTCACCTCAAGGCTGGACTATGGGAACTCTCTCCTCGCCGGCCTTCCCGCCACCTCCCTCCACAAGCTGCAGGTCATTCAGAACTCTGCAGCTCGTGTACTGTCCCGCACCAGGCTTCGGGACCACATCACTCCCACCCTCGCTCGCCTCCACTGGCTCCCCATCCCCCAGAGGATTGATTTCAAGATCCTCATCCTCACCTACAAGGCCATTCACGGCCTCGCTCCCTCCTACCTCTCCAACCTACTATCCCCCTACCTACCTGCCCGTACCCTCCGTTCCTCTGGCTCTGGTCTGCTCCACGTCCCCCGCCCCAACCGCCCTACCATCGGTGGTCGGGCCTTCAGCCTCTCAGCCCCAGGCTCTGGAACTCCATCCCCCAGTGCCTTCGCCTTGCTTCCTCCCTTTCCTCCTTCAAGGCCGGTCTCAAAACCTTTCTCTTTGACCGTGCCTTCAGCTCCCCTCTCGACTCTCTTCCGCCTCCTCGCTCCCTCCCTTCCCTCCCCTCACCCTGACCATTTCCCCCCTCCTTGCTCCCTCCCTTCCCTCACCCTGACCATTTCCCCCCTCCTCGCTCCCTCCCTTCCCTCACCCTGACCATTTTCCCCCCTGCTCGGGCCATGACCCAACTGTGCAGCGCCTTGGGACGTCCTCCTGACGTGAAAGGCGCTTTATAAATGGAATCTTGTTGTTGTTGTTGTTGTTGCTTGACTTTCCCTCACCTCCAAAACAATCACCCTGCCCAGTACCTCTCCCCCCGGGCTGCTGACACTCATCCACAACTTCATATCAACCAGTGAACATCTTCCTTGAGGGATAGGGTGGGGCTTGGTAAGTGGGGTTTCCTTCAAGCTAAAATGCTTGGCAATCAAATGTTAGAAACAAGCCCGCTCTCTGTGGTGGTTTCGGTAGTCCAGTTCCTGAGCCAGGCAGGTTCACAGTAAATAGGACAATGCTGATGATAGACCAGCCAACCTAACTCATCAGCAAGATTTGGAGGGCCTGACCGGTCACTGAGTGCAGCAATTCCTCTCAATCGGCTCGTGTTAGCCTTGCAAGCTAAAGCCCTAATTGGTAGGAATGTCCTAGCTTTATGTTTTATACAACTTTCTTTCAATGTAGTGTCTCAGGACAAGCCCTTGTTGACTAAAGGGTTGGAGTTCAATTCAGTTTAGGAAGCTGACGGCTTTGGTTCATTTCTTAATTTGTTTTTAGTATGAAGCAATTGAGTTAAAGGGCTAATTGCACCATAAATGGTTAACATAAGGCAGAACTTTAAATACGTTTTCCTTGTCAAGTATGAGTAAGGCAGTAGTTTTCTCTTGTTTTCACATTTACAGATCTTAATCTGCTAATAGTTCATCCAACTGGTCACTTCAAAGGGCCGTGGGGATTTACCTTTCAAGTCAGCTTGAACATTGTATACTTGTTCTCCCTTTTCTGCTGTTATCATCACATACTGTGAGTTTACCTGTACTGAAAGGATCATGTAGGATGTTTGCACTGGAAATGTAAACATATTACTTCCAGGATACCAGCATGCTGCACATTTCAGCCATTCTGCCTCCGCTTTCTGGAACACCATCCCGGAGTCCCTCTGACTTGCTCCCTTCCCTCCCCTCATTTAAAGCCCACCTCAAGATGTACCTCTTTGATCACATTTTCAGTCATATTTACCCTTCCCATCCACTTTGGCTCCCCCAGTTTGGGTGCCCAGCCACTAGGTAAGTGCTTTGAGACATCCTCTCCACTTGAAAGGCTCAATATAAATGTAAATTGTACTGCAAGTGTCAGGTGACGTGCTTTCTAATCCAATGTACTATTCTATGGGATAGGTCCAGTTATCCATGAACATTGAGGTCTAGAGGTAGTTTATTTCATCTCAGCCAGGAATAGACTTTGGCTTAAGACTCAAAGAGAGGAAGGGAAGAAAACAATGGAGCAAAAACAGCACAACAAAAGCTTATAAGGAACTTGTAACCTAACCCTAAGTCCATGTAAAATATATTATAGAATCATAGAATACAGTACAGAAGGAGGCCATTTGGCCCATCGTGACTGTGCTGGCTCCCTGGAAGATCTACTCAATCAGTCCCACTTCTCTGCTCTCTCCCCATATCCCTGCAAATATTTCCTTTTCAAGTACCCATCTAATTCCCTCTTGAAAGGTATCGTTGAACCTGTTTCCACCACCCTTTCAGGCAATGCATTCCAGAACGTGACAACTCTGTGTAAAAAAATGTTCTCATCTGGTTGTTTTGCTAATTATCTTAAATCTACTGACCCAGCGGCCAGTGGAAACAGTTTCCCCTGTCTACTCTATCAAAGACCCTCATAATTTTGAACACTTCTATTAAATCTCCCCTTAACCTTCCTATACGGTCGATACGGTCGACCACGCTATCCTACTCCACCGCTTGTCCTCCCACCTCAACCTTCAAGGCACTGTCCTTGAGTGGTTTAGGTCGTACCTTTCTCACCGTCTTCACTTTGTCTCGACGAATGGCTTCTCCTCCACCCCCCGTACTGTCTCATGTGGAGTCCCTCAGGGCTCTGTCCTCGGTCCCCTCCTCTTCACCCTCTACATGCTCCCCCTCGGTGACATCATCCGCAGACATGGAGTTAACTTCCACATGTATGCGGATGACACCCAACTCTACCTTTCCTCCTCTACTCTCAACTCCACGACCACCGATGTCCTGACAGCCGCCTGTCCGACATCGAGTCCTGGACGAGAGACAACTTTCTTCAGCTCAACGTGCGAAAAACCGAGGCCCTCCTGATTGGTTCGCGTCAGCGCCTCCGCACCTCAGGCGCCGACACCATCAGCATCCAAGGCTGCACTCTCCACCTCTCAAAGCCAGTCAGGAACCTCGGCGTTTTGTTCGACCCTGAGCTGTCCTTTCTCCCTCACATCCGCACCACAACTGGCACCGCCTTCCATCACCTCCGGAACATCGCCAGACTACGCCATTACCTCACCCCTCACGCTGCTGAAACCCTGGTTCACGCCTTTGTCACCTCAAGGCTGGACTATGGGAACTCTCTCCTCGCCGGCCTTCCCGGCACCTCCCTCCACAAGCTGCAGGTCATTCAGAACTCTGCAGCTCGTGTACTGTCCCGCACCAGGCTTCGCGACCACATCACTCCCACCCTCGCTCGCCTCCACTGGCTCCCCATCCCCCAGAGGATTGATTTCAAGATCCTCATCCTCACCTACAAGGCCATTCACGGCCTTGCTCCCTCCTACCTCTCCAACCTACTATCCCCCTACCTACCTGCCCGTACCCTCCGTTCCTCCGGCTCCGGTCTGCTCCACGTCCCCCGCCCCAATCGCCCTACCATTGGTGGTCGGGCCTTCAGCCTCTCAGCCCCGAGGCTCTGGAACTCTATCCCCCAGTGCCTTCGCCGCTTCCTCCCTCTCCTCCTTCAAGGCCCGTCTCAAAACCTTTCTCTTTGACCGTGCCTTCAGCTCCCCTCTCGACTCTCGTCCCCCTTCTCGCTCCCTCCCTTCCCTCCCCTCACCCTGACCATTTCCCCCCTCCTCGCTCCCTCCCCTCCCCTCACCCTGACCATTTCCCCCCTGCTCGGGTCATGACCCAACTGTGCAGCGCCTTGGGACGTCCTCCTGACGTGAAAGGCGCTTTATAAATGGAATCTTGTTGTTGTTGTTGTTGTAATGTGGTGCCCAGAATTGGACACAATACTCCTGGTGAGGCCTTAATCAGTGACTTATAAAGGTTATAATAGATTTTTTTTGGGGGGGTAGTTGTGTAGAGGATTAATAATTAAAGAGCAATTATCACACAGATTAGCAGTCCTTTGGCCTTGCTGTAGAAAAGTACCGATTTACAATAATAATCCTTGCGTTTGGTATAGCGCCTTTCACCTCAGGAGGACATCTCAAAGACTTCACATATTTGAGTCTTTTAAGTTTGCTAAAACTTAGCTCCTCCTCTGACTGCCTCCGGCTTCCATTAAGAGTAACTAGATGTAAAACCAATAAAGCAATAATTACCACAAACACCTTTGCATGCAACAGCATTTATTTGGATGTTTATGTTCAGAATTTTTAGTGTAGTGCAGTCTCATCAGTAACACATTAGTGCAGAAAGGCTTTCAGTAGCTTTGTGCTAAAAATCTCTATGTTATATCCTCATCTAATAAGGTTTAAAGAAGTAGTCTTCAAATGCAGGTAAAATGTGAAACATTTTGCTTCATGCTTCCCTGTAAAAGAATAAAAATAGGTTATTTGAAGATTTTTTCCCCAGTCAGAATTAGTGAAGGAAGTCATGAACGGATCAAATAATATAATCATCCTTAGGAAATTACAAACACTAGAGGCAATTTGTGTGCAGCAATGTCCCACAAACAGTCATGAACTAGCAGGACTTCATCCGAGGTCCCATGAAACAACTGTTATTCCACGTAACAATGAATGTCTCAAAGTCATAGCTTAATTATCACAATAACATCAGTCTTTCACTCATGCATACAACAGCGATACAAATTTATTTTTCTAATCTTCACTTGAAAAGTAATAGTGTTTGCAGGTATAAAGGTCCAATGTTATTATGATGCTTATGAACTCCAGATGTTCACACATGTGCAGAGCACGAATTTCCATAAGTAACCTGCAGAAGTCTGGAAATAGCCAGGAGATACGTCTGAATATCAAGCAAATCTGCTCATACTTTGCTGCGGTTCCCCTACTATTATGTAGTTGGTGGAGAATACAAAAACAGTTCAAGCATGCACGAAAGTATGACCACCATACATAATGATAGGACATGCTCACATGAGCAGAATTCATGTTGCTCCATTACTGATGTGTGGAGTCCTGTAGCTCAGTGGTTAGAGCACTCGCTTTGCAAGCGAGAGACCTGAGTTCAATTCCAGGCAGGGCAAAACCTTGGGCAAGTTTCCTTACTCCACACGCCTAATAATAATAATCCCTCCAAAATAACAAAACAATAATAAATTGGTCATTTTCAATCTACGACTGTTTGTGGGACATTGCTGTGCGCAATTGGCTGCCGCGTTCACCCACAAATATACAGTCAATTCACTTTACAGTGTGTTCTGTGAAGCGCTTTGGGACGTCCTCCCGACGTGAAAAGCGCTATATCAAATGCAAGGATTATTATTATTATTATTTTCATTATTAATCCCAGCTCATGTAAGTGGAGGCAACAGCTAATGGTTTCAAATAGGGTTGTGTGAAATTCAGATAGGCTTTCAGTGCTGAAATTCAGATCAGCACTTGGTGTAGCACGTTTGGTATTATCAGTCACCAGATGGCCCATTATAGCCGGCAAAGGCGCTACATGTAACCGTCTGAAATTTCAGCCCCATTTGTTGCCGGTTATAATTCTAAGAATGCAAAGGGGTCGACAGAGTGTAAGAGGTCATTTGAAAACTTTAGAGTCCCAAGGCAGTAGACTCAACAGAAACCACTAAGACTGGCGGTAGGATACAGAGAAGCAAAGAGATAAAGTAGTCTAAAACTAGGGGTCACAGTCTCAAGATTAAGGGTCAGCCTTTTTGAACTGAGTTGAGGAAACATTTCTTCACTCAAAGGGTAGTGAATTTGTGAAATTCTCTACCACAGAAGGCTGTGGATGCTCAGCCCTTGAACATATTCAAGACTGAGGTTGATAGATTTCTAAAGGATAGAGGGTTTAAGGGATATGGGGATAGGGCGGGTAAATGGAATTAGGTTAGAAGATCAGCCACGATCTTATTAAATGGCAGGGCAGGCTCGAGGGGCCGAATGGCCTACTCCTGCTCCTACCTCTTATGGTCTTATGGAATAGCAGCAAATTATTAATGCTACTTATAAAACTAGGTTAAAACACAGAATCATATCTGTTCCAAGTACAACTCTCAGCAAAGATAATGTCAGTTCTTCAATTATGTTTTGGTTCCAATGGAAAACTAGATTACAGATAGGGATCGTTTTTTTTCATTTCTGAGAATCTTAATGGAACGTAGGTTCACTATGTCCCCAGTGATTACCCTGAGTGGTTCATATCAGGAATGGCATAAGTCAATACCAATATACTGATCTGCCTACTCAATGAGTTAATGTCTTCCAAGAGAAGGACCTCACCTTGAACTTTCCTGCACTGATGGATCCTCAGTTTACATATTTGCACCTCTTTTGTAAACTATTTAATATGGCATGGAGTCCTGCTGACAGGCAACCAACCAGTACTAATCCTGGTTCCTAGCACAATTAATTTTCTAATTTCCCCAAACCTTTCCTCTGCCCCATTTGATAATAATAATCCTTGCATTTGACATAGCAAGTGAATATATTTTGTGGGTGAAATGTGGGAGCCAATTGCACACAGCAGTGTTCCACAAACAGTCATGGATTCAGCAAATTATTATTATGATGATGATAGAATGGCTAAAGTATAACACATAAAATGCAGGGATTAGAGCGTGGGAACTCTTGATTGTTTTTTTGGGGGGTCAACTGGGTGTCCAAGACATGTAGAATCTCAATATACTTATAAAAAGCTCTAAACCAAATTACCAAGGGTTTCACATACACAAAGTTTCTATTCATTTGGTTAGCCAGGTACTGGGAGCCTTGTCCCACAGTGGCACAGTATTGAAACTCCAGTGTACAGTACTGTTATGTAAACCATCTATCAAGCACATATCTTCCAGAAATGGGAAGCTAGACCGTTCATGTTCCAGCTCAAGTGATACTCACGTGGCAAATTGCATGTTATCCGACGGGATTTCTAATATGGGAAAGACCATCTTGGGGTCGTTGTAGTGGTCCAATGCCCGCTGGGCCACTATTTCTGAGAACTTGGGATCATCCCAGTTGATGTCTCCTGGCACAGTGAAACTCAATGGAGGTGAGTCAAAGATCCGAAGGACAATGCTGGAAGCTGGAATCTCGAATGGGTCGTCATTGCTGCTTCTGGACCGTGTCATGATCTGTGTAATATGAGCAAAAAATAGGCATCACACTTCTACTATTACTAATGATATTTGTATTTGATATTGTACCTTTCATATTGGAAAAACATATCAAAGTGCTTCAAAGTAAAGAACTGTGTACTTTGGTAGACAAATGTGACAGCCAATCTGTCTACCAGCATCACATTGGAAGATTCAAGTTCAATAAATGAGAGTGCCCAGTGCTTCAACCCAGTCAGTGATGCATGCTGGAAAGGGAATATTTAGGTGAGAATAGAATTGTTACTTCTTCAAACAGCCTGTTGCCACTCACCATCCAGGCTAGATGGAGGACCTAGTAAAGGCACTTTATCACTTGGAACCAGCTTGAGTCAACAGCTTCAGAAGAAAAAATTGGGAGGGTGTGGAGATGATCAGGAAGGAATAACAAATCACTGTGATTGTATGGACTGGCATTTCTCTACTCTTCTACAAACCTCTCTTTATAAATATAGGTGATAAAATATCGCCCCTCATGCAGAGTAGCATCACAGAGCACTTGACAGTGGCAAGAGCCTGACACCTAGCTGGGGAGAGGTAACCATAGGCACGGTCAAAAAGGAAGATCTTCAGGCGTGGGGAAGGATGAGGCAAGGCGGAGAGATTGAAGAAGTGTTCCAGAGTTTCGGGCATAGTTGCTGAAAGTGTGGCCACCGATGGTGGAACGGAGGGCGCAAGGGATAAGCAGGAGGCCAGAGCCAGTCGAGCAGAGGCAATGGGTAGCGGGCTGAGGAGTAAACCTGTCAGAGAGGTAGGGAGATGCTAGGACGTAAAGGGATTCGAGGACGGATGTGAGGAACCTCATGTTATCGCATTAAACACATTCTAAAACAATCTTGAAGTTTCACCCCATACAAAAACAACAAAATTACACTTCTAAAGCACCTTTCAGGTCGGGAGGATGTTCCAAGGCACTGGACAGACAGAGTCACGGACCCGACCTGGAGAGCAGAGTCAGAGAGGATGGAGGGCAGGGGGGAAAGCAGGGAGATCGAAAGCACGGTCGAAGACGAGGGTCATGAGATGGGTCTTGATGGTGCAATACATTTATTTTCTAACTTTCAGAAGCAGACCCCAAGCAATTTGGCTATTTTGTCACACAGTCCAGAGAACGTCATTTTATTTGCAAAACTGTGAGCTATAAAACTGCCTAAAATGGTTATGTTGTGCCAGTGGTCAAGGATAATGATTCCAGTGACTCCATCCATTCTGACAAGCCTTTGGTTGTGATTTGGCATGTACAGTAGCTCCTTTATTCTTTTCAAACCATTAGATCTGAATGTGTACACACTGTAGAAAGGGGCAAAGCTTTGTGTGTCCACGCTATTCATCAAAATCACTTTCCCATCAGCAACATGCAGTATAATTTTTTTTTCTAGATTCAAATGTTCCCAGAAGATTGCACAGGCTGTGTATAATACTTACTGTTTTAATATCGAACATTCCATCAGGAGTCTGAGTCATGTTAGCCAATTTAGAGACCCATCCAAACTGTTTGTTCAGCATTTCCAACTGCTGGCTAGTGTTTAGCACATTCAGCTCAAATTCTTTCAGCAAGCTGTCATATTCCTTTGTGAACCTTTCTGCCATACTAAGGGCCTCTTCAAAGTCCTTGCGTAAAGGTTTGTGGTCCAAATCAAAGCACTCTGAAATGCGGAGAAATAAAGCAACAAATAAGTTATTGCGAAACCACAGCCATTAAAAGGACTTCCCGCTGCTTATTATTAATAGACTGCTGCCCACTCACAATTAGTCTTTGCTAATACAATCAAATACAATTTCCATTTATATAGTGTTCCAGTCATGACATGAATAGGCAGAGTTCCCATTCATAATACACTGAGACCGGACCCCTTCGTTCTCCACTTGATCAGGCACTACCCACCCGCTCGCTCACATGATCAGGTGACACTGTTTCCTCTCTCCCACCCCATCCCCCTCTTGTTGCTCTGTGTAGGAAGGATGTGGAGAGCCTGCATCTCCTCACATCACTTGAGGATTGTCATTTACCTGCAGTCAAAACCTCCTTGCACTTTTCACACTCGGCGGAAAGCTTCATACATCCTGATGAATTTCGACGTATTTCACGGCACACTAACTGATCTGGTTCAGTTGGTGTTGAAAAATTATATTTTTCATCTGTTAAATAAGGAATCGCAACATGTAAAGAAAATATAACAAAGCATAGATAAAAAAGCGGGAGCAAGGCGCAACTAAGAATAGATCAGAAACCTAATGAACTAGACTAGTAAGCCATGCTCTCCGAGACGCTATCCTGTGTGAAGGGCACTATATAAAGTCATTGTCATTGGTGGTGGTTCCTTAACACTTCTCTTCCTGCCTGTGTCCCACTTTACATTAATTTTTATTTATCTTTGGCCTAGGATTTGTGCTGACTATGTGTAATTAGCTGCTGCGTTTCACCCACAATCCACTTTACAGTATATTCTGTGAAGCACTTTGAGACGTCGCAATGACGTGATAAGGCATTATATCAAATGAAAGGATTATTATATTATACAGTTTTAGTTGAACTGGGAATGTTACAATTTTATGCTCGTTTGTGTATTCTGCAATACATCATGACTAGGAAACAAAATTAGAACCCTATGTTCTGATCTTAATTGTTTTTGTGCTGTTAGATAAGGAGATGTTGCCACATGTTCAGCACTGAGACATGGAAAATCTTGCTTCAAAACTCAAAAGCTGAAGGAATTTGCTAACTGTACAAATCAGATAATGGGTTACACATGAAGAGTATAAATTAACTGTTTAAGCAACAAACAGATAAAATTGATAGAAATCACCTGTGGCTAATTATTTAAGTTCTCATATGTCAGTGCATTGTTACTATGGTGCATTATTACATCTGAAAAGCCCATTTTGCTATTGTATTTAAATCATTTTATTACATAAATTTATATTGAATTTACAACACAGAATCAGGCCATTCGGTCCCAAACCAGTCCATGCCAGGGTTTATATTCCACATGAGTCTCCACCCACTGTTTACTCCCTCCCATATCCTTCTATCAATTCTCCCTCATATATAGATCTTTCTCATGGTATATCTTAATCAACAGCCCAAATATAATTTTTGGTGTAGTAGCTTATTCCAGTACTATGGGATGGACAGTAGATTTTTTTTCACTTGTCGAACAGGTTATAGATTTATTGTAGGTTGTCGTGAGCTACAGTTCTGAACAGATTTAACTAAACTGGCCAGTTTCAAACATAGCTATTTCTTACTTGTCTCAAGGAAGCTGTCACTGTGCAATTCGGGGCTATGAATCATCCCTCGGAACCTGTCAAAAATCTTTTGAGTAGCTTCAAAGAATGAGTGAAAAATGTCACGGCCATCAAATATCGAAGGTCTATATGAAGGGAAGTAGGTTGTTTCTGGAAAAAAAGAAAAAGGTTTTGGGAAAAATCCATTTCTTCGTGGGAAGGAAGGATCAAGCCACCGATCAATGCCATCAAAGGGCCCTATGGTGTCTCTGAATATTCCATCAATATCTTCATACTGTTTTTCGATTTGGTCAAACTGGGTACTTAGCTCTTCATTCTTTTCGACCAGTGAGTCCATTTTATCCCCATTGACCCATATGGAAATCATGGGAGTTTGATTGAAGAATTGTTCCACCTGTTGAGGAGAACTATCACTCAGATTATCCTGACATAACAACTACAACAACAAAATTACATTTGTATAGCACCTTTCACACTGGGAGGACGTCCCAAGGCCCTGGACAATCAATTTTTCAGACCCAAGCTGGGGGTCGGGATCGGGGAGGGTGGAGAGCAGGGGAGAAAAGAGGGTGACCAAAGGCACGGTCGAAGATGAGGGTCTTGAGACAGGTCTTGAAGGAGGCAAGGGATGAGGCGAGGCAGAGAGACTGCGGGATGGAGTTCCAGAGAGTGGGGGCAAAGTGGCTGAAGTGGCCAATGGTGGGGCAGCCGAAGCAGGGACGTGAAGCAGGCCAGAGCCCACTCAGCTGAAGGAGTGGGCAGGTTGGTATGAGGTTAAGAGGTCGCAGAGGTAGGGGGGAGCGAGGCCATGGAGGGCTTTGAAGGTGAGGACCAGGATCTTGAACTGTATCCTCTGTGTGATGGGAAGCCAGTGGAGTTGGGCGAGGATGGGGGTGATAGGGTGATAGGGTCATGGAGCCTGGTATGGGAGAGGACACGGGCTGCAGAGTTCTGGATGATCTGCAGCCTATGGAGGGAGGAGTTGGGGAGGCTGACAAGCAGGGAGTTTGCATAACACTATATATCATACAATATATCATAACACTATATATCATATAAACATGCTGAAACATCTCAAAGCGATTCATAAACGTTATTGTAAAGTGTAGTGACTGTGTGCTTGTACCAACTATAACAGCCAATTTGTGTACAGCAGTATCCCACAACCAGCCTTGATATGTACGGCCAATATTTTCTGCATTTGTACATTTATATTATGTAATAATAATCCTTGCATTTGATATAACGCCTTATCACACTATTCAGATGCCTCAAAGTGCTTCAACAACAACAACAAGATTTCATTTATAGAGATCTATTCAGAGAATAGATTGTAAAGTAGATTGACTGTGTATTTGTGGGCAAAAAACATCATGCATTGAATGATCATAGACCACGAACAGTCATGCATTGAGTGATCGATTGTTTTTTTTAAAAAGGATTACTATCCCTGAAAAGCGATCCGCCAATCGACTAACAACCAGGTTCCAACTTTTACTGTTAGGTAAACAGAGGCCTGAGGATAAGGAAACTTGCTTAAGGTTTGGTCCCGCCCAGGAATTGATCTGGAGTCCTCTCGCTTGCAAAGCAAGCGCACTATGCTACGGGATGCCATTTCACATTTCAGAGAATTCTCATTTCCAGAGATAATAATGCATTGATATTACTCACTTACACTGATATTCCGCCTATTTATTAAAATAAAATACATTTGGGCTCCCTTAATCGATCAGTAGACTATGTTTGTTTTGTGGTAGTGAGCTAATACAGACCTAGAAGAACAATATCATAAAACCATAAAACACTACAGCACAAAAAAGGCCATTAAAATAACTTCCACAACTCTCATCCTCTTCATCAAATCCTAATAAAGTTGTCAAAGGTTGGGTAATTTTTTTGAGGGGCGACAATAGAGATTCATTTGAGTTAACCTACCTTTTTTTCAACCATGCCAAAGCCTCTTCTGCAGGTCTTTGCATAGAATCTTGTGCATACATGTTTCAAGCATGGCTTACACTCTTCCCACAGGGCTTCCTTGTCCTTACATTGCTCAGCTTCATTCAGCTTTTTCTGAGTTTGCACAGCAGTCTCCAGTGCATCCTGATATAAAAGTGGAAAACAGTAGTGATTCAGTGGTATTGATATACAAAGTTTACTTCCATCGATTTCATTTATATTCAGCCCCAAAATGAGAACCACATAAATTTACGCACAAAAGGTCATCAGCCCATCATATACCTATTGTCTCTTTGAAAGATCAAATCCTTAAATTCCATTTACCTGCCATTTTCTGATACCCTTTCAGATGACTTCTTTTTCTATATCTATCTGATTCCCTGCTGAAAGCTAATATGGATCCTGCCTCAACACCTGGCAATTCATTCCACATCCTGACAACTCCAGGAAAAAATAATTAATAATACTTGCATTTGATATAACGCCTTATCACATCGTTGAGACATCTCAGAGCACTTCACAGAATATATTGTAAAGTAAATTGGCTGTGTATTTTGAAAATCTTCCTAATCTCTCCCTTTGCTCCTTGACTAATGTTCTTAAATTGACACCTAGTCACTGATTCAATTTCATTACAGGGACTTGTCAAGGTAAAAATTACAAGTTGTGGGAAAGTTTAAAGATTCTCCATGCATGTATTTAAGGTGTGCTTTTGCAGATTTGTGACACATCCTCCATCGAGATCAGCCTGAACTTTGCTTTCATGCATGGACCGTGCCTAATCATAGCAACTGGTAAGGACACACATTGCACAATACCTCTTTTCTTTTCTTGATGGCTTCCAAAGTTTGTAGATATTCCTGATGCTCTGCATCATTTTTCTCCATTAACAGTTTGATGTGGGTTGCTTCATTCATAGCATTTTCGATTTGTTCATCTATATATTTCGCTCCTTCCTTTGACAGCTCTGTGAAAATATATTCCAACATTACTTCCATGTAAAATTTGAAACTCCATAGTTGTTGACAATTACTCAAGGACACTTCAATGATTTGCTTTTATCTTCTTTCGCTCCACCAATTTTCACCCTTTATCATTCCACTCCTCAAGCAATGACTCATTTTTAGGAATGTGAATTTAACCCCTTTGACTACGCCTATGGTCACAACCCCCTTCTTCCTTGCCTGGAGTCCAACCATCCAACCATCCGCAGTGCTCCAAGAACTATTTTGTGTGAACGGTGCAACTATAAATGCAAGTTGTTGTTGTACATATGTGTACCTGCTACCCTCCAATATTTTGTCCAAGCGACTATTCTTCAATTTTGAATCCATTTGGTGAGCATTATCCTGTTATGCTCCAATAATAGCCACAAATCTACACTTCCAGAAAGTAAGGGTATGAGTGGGGGAGAGGGGGTTAATGATCAGCCACGGCCACCACTGTCAACTCTTGCTCTTCGCTCTCCTGAAGACTCTGAAGCTACTTGTTGCGTTCCCTACTACAACATTACCTAAGACCTTCTGATTCAACAAAAAATTCAAATCAAAAACCTATCAGCATCTATGGTTCAGCAATACTGTACAAAACACATCACATTTAACTAATAACTTGACATGCTTATACTTATTTAAACCAAGTTTCTTCACAAAAAAGCAGCAACAAAATATGAATCATGATAGTGCTGACTACATCCACCACTTGTTCCAATTTAACATTTTAATATTAGAATTACTGTAAACAATTCATCATGAAAACTCTTGTTGCAATAGATACAGCATTTGCTGTAAACAATATGGGAGCTCACATGGTCAAAGAGGTTGAAAGGAAGTGTAGTAGCTGATCCAAGAACTATATTATAATAATAATAATCCTTGCATTTGATATAAAGCTTTTCATGTCTTCTAGATGTCTCAAAGCGCTTCACAGAATATGCTGTAAAGTGAATTGACTGTATATTTTTGGGCGAAATGCAGCAGCCAATTATAATAATAATTAAATAATAATAATCCTTCTTTTGATATAGCGCCTTATCATATCGGAAAGACGTCTCATGGCCCTCCCCTACAAAATAATTATTTGCCTCATGAATGTTTGTAGGACTTTGATGATGATAATGACTGTTGTACCTGCCAACAAAACCAGTCGATAAATTGATGGTTTTAATTATGATGCACTTTGAAATGTTTCCAAACAATAAGGCAATTTTTTTTATTTTAATATTAGTATTATTGTAAACAGTTCATCATGAACTGAGTTCTTATTTTAGGAGCTAAGTGTTTTGTTAGAAGAAAAAATGAAAATATTCCACCAGGACATCTTCACGAGGAGTAAGTGAGATCTCAAGTAGACATTTATCACTCACTTTTCAGTTTCTCTTGTGAAATCTCTTGCTGGCTTTCACTCGCAACTAGTACAAAGAACAGCCATAAGGCAAACACAATTTCCTTCATTTTTCCCACTTCTGTTCAATAGGGTTTTTCAATCCACGGTTTCACAATCTGAAAGAAAGAACAGTGACAACTACATTACATTCAGCCCGTCAAGCTTGTTGTATCATTTTATTCGATTATGGCTGACCTGCAACTTAATAGCATTTCCGTGACCTTTCACAAAATCATTTGATACCCCTGCCCACCAAGTATTCATCTACCTCCCTCTTCAAATCAAAGTGCAGCTCCAAAGCAAGTCTATTGGACAACTTTAGGCTCTATTTGAATTGTGAACAATTCTATTGGCTTGCCAATCTCAGACAAGGTTCTCCGTCCACATACAGAGTGAATCTGTCAGAACATTTAAAAACATAACAACGCATGGCAAGGGAGAGATTGAATCTGTGGATGGAGCTGCAAACCCAAATCAATTAGTAATTGCATTAAAAATATCTACTAATTGGTGCTCTGACATAACAGGTTAGAGGAATCTTGTTCCGGGCAGAGTCTGCATTGATTCCCTTGTAGTTTAGTGGTGGTGGGGAGAAAGTCTTCTACTTGTGGTGCATTTGTTTCCAGTAGGTGGGGAGCGGACTCATGTCAGCAGTTTATCCATTCAATGTCTATTCATTTTAGTAAGGAGTGTTACAGCGGTCCATATGGGGAAGGTGGAGGGCTATCATGTGATATTGAGTTCATGCTTCTTAGTACGTGAACACATTCTCGACCTATATATATCACCACTACAGTATTTAATACTAGATATACCTTAAACAAACTATTTTACACAGTTTGAACTTTTGTACATGAGGTCGAGGGGGGAGGGGGGTTAAACACACTGTCAAAGTTGATATCAGAATGGATCAGCAGAGTATTTGATTTTATCAACAATACCATCTTGAATTTATATAGCACCGCTCATGCTGGTTAGGGTCCCAGAGTGATTGACAGTGGTGAAGCACGACACTGAACTGGGGGAAGTGGGAGGGGACCGTAGGCACTGTCAAATGAGAAGATCTTCAGGTGTGACCTGAAGATGTGGAAAGAAGGGGCTAGGCGCAGGGAAGTGTTCCAAAAATTTTGGGGTGTAGTGGCTGAAAGCACGGCCACCAATGATGAAACGGAAGGCATGAGGGACATGCAGGACTCCACCAGTCGAGCGGGGCAGCGGGTTATGGGTTGGGGGGTAAGCAGGTCGTAGAGGTAGGGAGGGGCCAGGGCACGAAGGGATTGGAAAATGAGTGTGAGGATCTTGAAATCGATCCTTTCGGCGATAGGGAGAGAGTGGAGCCTGGCTACTGGTGTAATGGGAGATGCATATCTGATTCTCAGATTCATATCTGACTCTGATTTCATATTGGGAATTTTAGTTTAGTTAACTTCATTTAGTTTACTTATGCTAACCGTGACTCAGTAACTTAATCGACCCGCTGAATTTAACAGCCCCCCCCATTCAAACTATGTAAAACTTCATATCCTCATCATAAAAATCCATTACCCCACTTGCCCTTTCAAGAATTTATCAGATAATTTATTCCAAGCCTACGTTTAGAAAGTATGAAAATTAATTGGGAAAGAAAGAATATATGTACAGATTATATGTAATTATGGAGTGAACCATGTATCTCAGGCAAATTTCTACAGATGCAATAATACCATATTTATTGCATTGATACCTCCTCGAGGTATTGTTTGGGTGCAATAACTGCACACTGAAGGAAGTTTGGAACATGCACTAGCTTTTTGTATCTGAAGCAAAAATGATAGTCCAGTCTAGAAAGTGAAAGCAATACATCGCTGGGCAGAGAAATATCAATGCTCTCTGTAGAACAAATGAGTCCAGTGTAAAGCATTTAATGGTGTTCCAATCTCCAACTGGCGGAGTTAGCATTATTGAATGTAACAGATATGAGTGAAGAAACACAGCCAAGAAATCTCAGCAATTCCAGTGTATAATTTTCTTTATTAGCACATTGTGTCAAGTCTCTCAATGCCAGTCACAATACTTTGTGTACATTAACATTCCAGTGGCAGAATTGACACTGCAAGCAATTACAACACAGTAGTATCCTAACTCCTGTTTACTGATAAAATTGTAAGTTTTCTTACAAAACAACTAATAAAGAGAATGCTATGTACTATTTAGATAACAAGATTTCCCTGTTACACAGTTTCAAAACAAATCCCACATATTGCTGTAAAATTTGTAAGACTAAACAAAGTATTGTGCAGTCTGAAACAAACCCACGAATGTTCTTCTCTGTATATATTGTGGGATTATATACTACTGCTCAATTACAATAGTCTCATAATAATTAATTAAAGTTAAAACAAAAGCATTCAAATATTTATTCACTAATTTCACTTTATGAAGAATTTTCTTCAGTCATTTTTAAGGTAAACATTTCAAAGTTGTAGCCACTTGACTCAAACAATGTTCCAGCAAGTTGTTATCTCTGCTGCGTAGTCCAAAGATATACTGGAGGAAGCGGGAGGGGGGAAAGAGGAGAGCTGCAGTGTAAGTGCATCATGACCTTCCTCGTTGTAAATTGAACATCCCTTTTGGACGTCCCTTAACAAACTCCCAAGCCAAATATATACTAGGTATGGCTAGATGTGTTGACCTTTCCAAATCAAAGTAAATATGTGTGCCCTTGCGCACTAATTCCGCCTTTCATTTCATCTCTTTCTTATTCTAGTGTAGTATATTTATCTGACTACCATTGTAAGTGTGGAATACATGAGAACATAAGAAGGTACTGGACTAGAAAAGACCACAGGCTTCGGGTGTGTTCCACAACATTAGAATTCACTAATATTAGAATTCACTAATGTTAGAAATGACATGACATTTGACTTTTTGATTAACATGAAAAAAAATAATTCAGACTCTACTGCACTTGTAGCCCACCTGGATCCGATGGGTATCTGGTTCATAAACCAGTAGTCATGGTTGGCAACAGAATGTTGGAATCGAGCCAGCCTCTATGGCGGTATAGGTTGTCCGGTTCCAGAGCCAGGAAGCACCGCAGTACTCCAGGGCACTGCTGATGACAGCACAGCTAGCCTGGCTAGCCAGCAGGACCTGGAAGGGCAGACAAGTCACTGGTGGCAAGAAATCCTCCCACTCAGCTCCTGTTAACCCTGAAAACCAAAGCCCTTACTGGTAGGATGATCCTAGCTGGTCAAGCAGTGGGAAAGCTTTCCTGACTGTGATATCGATGGCAAGCTATGCAGTTTTAGCTGGTTAGACTCCTGCAGTACCCCCAAGCCTTGCCAAACTGTGCCTAATACTTTGCAGGATTAGGTAAGCAGAATGTATCCCTCCAGGGAGAGAGTGCATTCCATTCCAACAATCTATCTCTGTGATTTCCATGTGTAGGTGGGATGCATGGAATTCTCAGTTTGGATAATCTTAAACATGGTGATGGGTTTCGATGTGTGTCAGACACCCGTCTGACCCCCCAAAAATGCAACTTATATATGACTTCACATAAATTATATATGATATGACATATGCAAGTTTGCCACATCTCATACTTTGCATAAGTCACATTAGACGTTATGGTCCGAACCGATATGACTTAGGTAAGTTTCACTGTAGCTGTTTCTCTATACCCTTGAACATTGTGAATCCTGTAGATAAAGCTTAACAAGAGAAAGGGAGGATAAAGGTTCTTATGTTAAATTATCAAGTTCATAATGGTCGCCTTGAAACACAAATCGAAGTGATAAATTGTTCAGGCATAACAGATCCATGAACTTGCGATGCTATCACACTCACACCACGAAGCACCGTTTGACGTTAGTTTCCTCTGCACAAGACAACTGCAGTCATTCACTGCAATGCAACAAACACAGTAAACACAGCAACGATGAGTAATGGCACCGTTTTGAAATGCAATTCGCCTAAATCACAGGGTAAAGGGAAACTCCATAACAGTGATCAGAGTACTGATTATCCTATTGTTTCACAACAAACACTGGTAACAGAATCTACATTACATTTCAGAAAGTCTCTTAATTCAAATCTTGCAACACATCTTCTGTGGATGACATTGCCTCTCCTTTCCTGCAAAAACTGTAAACCTGCATAACATTGCTTAACCGATAAAAGCTAAACAGTTTTGTCAACATAATTAGAATTAAAATACCCTGAATCTAACTCTAATTTTGCAACATTTGCAGGACATCCGCAAGACTCGTGGTTATTTCTGCGTGGTCTGCGTTTATTTTAAAAGTCCTTAATTGCTTTTCACAAAAAAAAATAATATTTGCATTTGCCAAATACGAACTGACCGTTCATTAACAGCCTTTACATTAATAACAGTTACATTAATAACCTTGACATTAATAGCCTTTACATACCTGTATCTTTAAAACATTTCCACAGACTTCAAAAGATCAAATGCATTCAATAGACAGTGTTGCTATTAGTTTTTTTTAAAAAGAAGCAATTCCTCTAAAACATCTGCACAGATGTAAAATCATCAGATAATGTGTGTGCTCCTACCTCCCACACCAGCCTCTCTCCCCTCCTGCTCTCCACTCGGTTTCGCGCAGCAGATCCTGTCCTTTTATCTTGTGACTCAAGGTTATATTTACATTTTTTGTTGAGTCACCAACACGCAATGTTGGATAAGAACGGGATCTTCTAGAAAAATCGAGGGGGACTGACTGTCTGAAATAAAGTCAAACAAAGCCGCATAGTTGCAAATCGCTGTGGGTCCAGCAGTGGGCAATGCTACACCAGGTACAGCCACATGGACTGTGCTCACTGCAGCCCAGCACAGTGCACCTCTCACACCCTGTCTGGCCATGTGTGTGTCTCTGTCTGTCTGTCTGTCTGTCTGTCTGTCTGTCTGTGTGTGTGTGTCTGGCTATGCGTCTGTCTGTCTGTGTGTGTGTGTGTGTGTGTGTGTCTGGCTGTGTGTGTGTGTCTGTCTGTGTGTCTGTCTGTGTGTGTGTGTGTGTCTGGCTATGTGTCTGTCTGTCTGTGTGTGTGTGTGTGTGTGTGTGTCTGGCTGGCTGTGTGTGTGTGGCTGGCTGTGTGTCTCTGTCTGTGTGTGTGTGTCTGGCTATGTGTCTGTCTGTGTGTGTCTGGCTATGTGTCTGTCTGTGTGTGTCTGGCTGGCTGTGTGTGTGTCTGTGTGTGTGTGGCTGGCTGTGTGTGTGTGTCTGTGTGTGTGTGTCTGGCTATGTGTCTGTCTGTGTGTGTGTGTCTGTCTGTGTGTGTGTGTGTGTGTGTCTGGCTATGTGTCTGTCTGTGTGTGTCTGGCTGGCTGGCTGTGTGTGTGTCTGTGTGTGTGTGGCTGGCTGTGTGTGTGTGTCTGTGTGTGTGTGTCTGGCTGGCTGTGTGTGTGTGTCTGGCTATGTGTCTGTCTGTGTGTGTGTGTGTCTGGCTGTGTGTGTGTGTCTGGCTATGTGTCTGTCTGTGTGTGTGTGTGTGTGGCTGGCTGTGCGTCTGTCTATGTGTGTGGCTGGCTGTGTGTGTGTGTCTGGCTGGCTGGCTATGTGTCTGTGTGTGTGTCTGGCTGGCTGTGTGTCTGTGTGGCTGGCTGTGTGTGTGTGTGGCTATGTGTCTGGCTGGCTGGCTGTGTGTGTGTGTGTGTGTCTGGCTGGCTGGCTGTGTGTGTGTGTGTGTGTGTGTCTGGCTGGCTGTGTGTGTGTGTGTGTCTGTGTGTGGCTATGTGTCTGGCTGGCTGTGTGTGTGTGTGTGTGTGTGCGGCTATGTGTGTGTCTGGCTGGCTGGCTGGCTGTGTGTGTGTCTGGCTGGCTGGCTGTGTGTGTGTGTGGCTATGTGTCTGGCTGGCTGGCTGTGTGTGTGTGTGTGTGTGTCTGGCTGTGTGTGTGTGTGGCTATGTGTCTGGCTGGCTGGCTGTGTGTGTGTGTGTGTGTGTGTGTCTGGCTGTGTGTGTGTGTGTGTCTGGCTGTGTGTGTGTGTGTGTCTGGCTGGCTGGCTGTGTGTGTGTGTGTGTGTCTGGCTGTGTGTGTGTGTGTGTGGCTATGTGTCTGGCTGTGTGTGTGTGGCTGGCTGTGTGTGTGTGTGTGTGTGGCTATGTGTCTGGCTGTGTGTGTATGTGTGTGTCTGGCTGGCTGGCTGTGTGTGTGTGTGTGTGTGTCTGGCTGGCTGTGTGTGTGTATGTGTGTGTGTGTCTGGCTGGCTGTGTGTGTGTATGTGTGTGTGTGTCTGGCTGGCTGTGTGTGTGTGTGTGTGTGTGTGTCTGGCTGTGTGTGTGTGTCTGGCTGGCTGTGTGTGTGTGTGTGTGTGTGTGTCTGGCTGTGTGTGTGTGTCTGGCTGGCTGTGTGTGTGTGTGTGTGTGTCTGGCTGGCTGTGTGTGTGTATGTGTGTGTGTGTCTGGCTGGCTGTGTGTGTGTATGTGTGTGTCTGGCTGGCTGGCTGTGTGTGTGTGTCTGGCTGGCTGTGTGTGTGTGTGTGTGTGTCTGGCTGGCTGTGTGTGTGTGTCTGGCTGGCTGTGTGTGTGTGTCTGGCTGGCTGTGTGTGTGTGTGTCTGGCTGGCTGGCTGTGTGTCTGGCTGGCTGGCTGGTTGTGTGTGTGTGTCTGGCTGGCTGTGTGTGTGTGTCTGGCTGGCTGGCTGTGTGTCTGGCTGGCTGTGTGTGTGTGTGTGTGTCTGGCTGGCTGGCTGTGTGTGTGTGTCTGGCTGGCTGTGTGTGTGTGTGTGTGTCTGGCTGGCTGGCTGTGTGTGTGTGTCTGGCTGGCTGTGTGTGTGTGTCTGGCTGGCTGTGTGTGTGTGTCTGGCTGGCTGGCTGTGTGTGTGTGTCTGGCTGGCTGTGTGTGTGTGTCTGGCTGGCTGGCTGTGTGTGTGTGTGTGTGTGTCTGGCTGGCTGGCTGTGTGTCTGGCTGGCTGTGTGTGTGTGTGTGTCTGGCTGGCTGGCTGTGTGTCTGGCTGGCTGTCTCCACCCCAGTGCCTCTCTGTACCATGGGACATTAGACCTTTCCTTTGACATGAAACTGGGATTAAACACCATCACACTCCAGGTTCAGACACCCCACCCTGACCATTGCTACCACGACCAGTGGCTGGAAAGTGTTATTTCAGCGCAGTTTGCAACCAACACACAAATCAACATTTCAATTTAATTTCAATTAAAACACAGCATCTAAAATGCTCCACTTGGTACAGGTCCACAGCCTGGCTTTGCCCACCTCCTGCTTCAAGTTGTCTTATTTGCAAGTAATGTTTGTTCAATAATTTTACTCTCTTCCAAATGGCTATTTTTAACAAGTTTTGCACCTCCCTCCTCCCACCCCCCACACACACACACACACATTTCCCGTCCTGAAATAAAACAATTGTGAACTTTTCTCCAAGCAAAAGAGAAACAGCAATTTGACATTTGTTATCAATTTAGCAATCGACCACTTGCAATTAATGAACAAACGTCTCCCCAAAGAGTTGTGCAAAAAAGGATCCGAGGTCATCGCATTGCAAAAGCCAAACATGTCGCCTGTGCGAAACCAACCAGGGCTTTTTTTTCCGCAGTGAGGAAGTTTATTCAGGCTCCAGAGCAAGAAACGAGGTGTTGGAGGGTTTGCTTGCAGCCTGCTTTTCTCACAGATGTTTGCACAAAGGAGGAAAATGTAGCTCAAGGCGAGTGGGTATGTAGTCAGGCTGCTGTGATTTTCTTATCTGTCCAAAAAAACAGTTGATCTTAAAGAAAGTGCCCCAGTTTTTAAATACATAGTTTCTTTGGAGGAGAGGAGATCGTTTTTTTTTAGTGTGAATGTATGTGCAGTAAATGTTTATGATGCACTTGCAATGCAACGTTGTACTCAGAACTGAAGCTTTAATGCATTACAGGAAATTCTTGTCTGATAAACACTTTCAAGAGAATTCCAGTGGGACAGTGAGATGCAACAGGCGTTGCCAGCTCAAATACTACTGTAATTAAAGAACATGAAAGGTAAGGACTTTTCTCTCAACCTTTTTTTTAATCAGAATAGTTATTTTTCTTATTTTGTTGTTGTTCCTTTTATCGTTTCTAAGCCACCCTTAAATATTTTTTTAATATGCACAGTTTATCATATGGAAATTGACTGCTGTATTTTTGTTGGAAACAAAAGTTTAGTTTCCTTTGGGAACTTTATAAAGTGAGACCGTTGCAAAGCAGTCTTAACTCTGCACATGTCATCACTGTAACTTTGGGTTGATGATATTTTGGGGGAATAATTTGTAACTTAATACAAGTAGGTGAGGTACAATACATATTTTGGTTTTGTTAAATTGCACTTGGACATCAGTTTTGGGAGAAGTGAGCAGATGCTCATGCAGATGAACAAATGCTCTTTCCTGGGCATTGTATTGATCAATCAAGATATAATAATAATCCTTGCATTTGGTACAGCACCTTTCATGTCATCAAGATGTCTCAAAGCGCTTCGCAGGATATACTGTAAAATGGTGTGACATTGTATTTTGTGTGGAAACTCGGCAGCCAATTACCATAGCAATGTCCCACAAACAGCCCTGGACCGAATGACCAATTTTATCTAGAGAATTGTTGGTCAGGACACTGGGAAAAACTACCTTTTCTTTTCAAATACTACCATGGGATCTTTAATGTCCACCTGAACAGGTAGAAAGGATCTCAGTTTAATGTTTCATCCAAAGGAAGGCACCTCCAACAATGCAGCATACCCCCAGCACTGCATTGGAGTGTTAGCTCAGACTATATTGTTTTTAAATATAAAAAATGTGTTTTTATATTAAAACAAAGGTTTCTTCCTGAGAAGAGTTGCATTAAGCTCAGAGTTATTATATTTTTTGGAGTCCCTCTTTGCATGTTCATTTCCTTCTCTTTACTGTCTTACCACCACCCATGCATGTGGCGATGCCAAACATTCTATTGTTAATTTACCTTGACAGAGACACATACACACATCAACACACTCAAAGAGGGAAAGAGACACACATTCACAGACAAAGAGAGAGAGATACACACATACACACAGACTCACAGCCACTCACATATATAGAGACAAATACAGAGAGACACATGCACAAGCATGCAGACATACTCAGACAGACACAGAGAGAGACACACTCACAGACACAGAAAGAGACAAACTCACACACACACACAGACAGACACACTCACACACACTCACAGAGAGACACACACACACAAACAGACAGAGATACATGCGCACAGACAATCTCAACAGGAGTGCAGTGGGGTCCCTGCCCTGTGTCGCGGCCACTCACCGGCGAGCGAAGCCCATTTCCCAACCTTACCACTGCCGCCAGCACAACATCCCCCACGGTATGATTTTCTATTGGCCCAGCCTGTCACTTTTGTCCCCAGAGCCTGGTTGGGGTGGAGTGAGGGGCAATGAACCAGGTATCCAGATCCTCATCACTGTCCAATGACCCCTGCAGGGAAGTGCATGTAGAAATGGCATCATGCTGGTTTGCGATGCCCCTCCACAGTTGAATGCTTACTCCCTAGGTTCGCTCACGATGAAAGGCCACTTGAGCAACCTATTACTGGAGTGCTGCCGGCATCTGTAGAACTGTATCCCAGCATGAATCAGCACTTCAGGAGAGGAGGGGAGAAACCAAGAGGGTGGCTTCATTTTAAGAGAAGAAAAACACTTTCCCTTACCAATGAATGCAAATAAGTTAACGTAGTTGCCATGCATCTGCTTCAGATGATATTTTCCTTGTGGTTAGAAATATGATGCAAATTTTGGGTTAAATCAGCCTTAAAGTTGGCTTTGATTCAGCGCCCGCACGGTATAGAGGCTACTCTTCGGGTGGGATCTGTTAGCTTGTGGACCCAGCTGACTGTGTGTTATTTTTAGCAAAGTCCTGCATCAGCGAGGGCTGTACATTTTATAGATCTTCATTTCTTACTGTAGGCAAAGCAATTTTAATCCTGTGGTTTTCCGGCTTTAAGATGAGCTAAATGTATCTACTCCTATTGCTCCTAATTGTCCTGGGATGCCAACAGCTATATCACAAATTTACCACAGCATCCCTAAGTCACATGTATCGGGAACAGAGGAAAACAAAATCACGAGGAAGCCATTCAGCCTATTCAGCCTTCAGACCAGGTATTAATCTAGTGAATCATCGCTGAATCCCTCTCTAAGGCTAGTACAGTAAACCTCACATAAGTTGTATCAGTTGGGACCATACATTTAGTATGACTTATGCAAAGTATGAGTTATGTGAAACATAAATGGTAGGAAATTCAACAGGACTTGGGCAGATGTACGACTTAGTCGATTATATGATTTATGCAGATCAGACCTATGCAAGTTTTACTGTATATCCTTCCTAAGATTGGGTGCCCTAAGATAAACACAGTACTCTAAATAAGGTCTGTATTGCAGTCTGTATAACTGGAGAAGCACCTCTTTGCGTTTATATTCTATAGCTGTTGTAATAAAGGCTAGCAATCCTTTAGCTAATTCTGCATCTGATCATTGTCAATCCGGAGACAGTTTCTACACTGTAGCACAGTGGAGGCAGTGTATGATATTTAGCTGCATGTTAATTGTTGCTATATACTATATATAACAGCAAACTTCAGTGCTGTAATTCTGTGAATTAGCCCAAGGTACAAGAGCTCTGCACTTAACTGTAAAAGTCAGAGTCTCACAAAGTTCATAAAGATTTAATCCTTTTATTCCAGCACGAGTGAATGATGAGTTGTGTTGAAGCATCCTCCAGCCCAGGCTGATGGTGATTTATCTTGTCCCTCACTGACTGCTCCCTGACGTTATAGAATCAGCTGAAAAATACTGATGGATTTTAATATGATCAGGTCAAACTTTACCATGATCAGCTGAAAAATGACTTTCAAACTAATCAAGACTAAGGTGGATAGATTTTTGTTAGGTAAGGGTATCAAGGGATATGAAGCAAAGGCGGGTATTTGGAGTTGAGGTACAGATCAGTCATGATCTAATAGAATGACGGAACAGGCTCAAATGGCTGAATGGCCTACTCCTGTTCCAATGTTAGTAATGTTCAGTCAGGAATGGATTTTCAGTTAAGAGGATTGTAGCTCTAGAAAAGAATGGAGCCCTGGATGTACAGAATTCCCTCTGGCCAGAAATGCAAGGGCTAAATAGGAATGGACTACCTGGTCAGGCATTGGAAGTAAATTGTATCTTTGAATTTGACAGGAGATTAGTGAGCAAGAACATGCATTTTTATACTGTCTCATCCTTTTCTACTTGTTCCGTGTTTTCCAAAGTAAGTGGCAAATGGCTGTATGGATCTCATGTCTACTCGTACTCAGAGTCGAATACCTTTGATATTTTTTACAGCACCTTATCATGTCAAAACATTTCAAAGCTCTTCACAGGTAAATACTGTCAAGTGTACTATTCAAAATACAGGAAAATAGTGTTAGAACACGTTTATTTGAGTAGCTCAGAGACTGAGTTATAAGTGAAGCGCTTCAGTTGGGAAACAGAAAATAGCACGCTTGTGCAGCTCACACAAACTGACATCAGTGATGCTTCTTGTGCATGTGCACCATAAAAATGTCAACAGCAACCTAATGTCATGGATGTCAGACAGTTTTTAATATGAAAAACTGCCTTGTCAACTCTGGAAGCCAGGTGTATGGTGCTTCCGATTTACTAGTGCTATTAGCGAGTCAGGGATATATTAAAGGGGCGTTATAATAGGGCTCCCTAGTAGTATCATGAATCTTTAATATCTTCTTGAGTCAAATACAACCTCAGTTTAACTTTGCATCTGAAAGATGTAATCCTTGCATTTGCATTTGATATGCCATATTACGTTAGAAAGATGTCTCCAAGCGCTTCACAAGAGTTACTGTGAGATGGTGTGACTGTAAATTTGTAAGCAAATGCGGCCGAACCATGCACAGCAGTGTCCCACAAACAGCCATGGAGTGAGTGACCAATTTAATTTGGGGGAATGTTGGTCATGACACGGGGAGAAACTCCCTTCTCTTTTTGAATAGTGCCATGGGATTCTTTAATGAACACCTAAAGAGGCAGACAGGACCTCGGTTTAACATCTCATCTGAAGGATGGCATCTCTGACATTGCAACATTCCCCCAGCATTCCATTCAAGTGTCACCTTAGACCAATGCAGAACTTGAACCCACAACCTGATGGCACCTCAATACAATACAGCACTCCCTCAGCATCAGCCATGGTCACATTTGAATCCTGGTGACAGTGCTGAGTTAAACTGAGTTAATCTTATTCGCAATCACAAAGAATTCAATTGAGAGATAGAATAGTGTAAGGTCCTCTTAATATTTACTTTGGGATAGACGAGACGAACTGCAATGATATCTTTCGATCCTGCACATTCCTATATTCCGATGCTAAGTTTGCTACATTGGCAAGTTCCCAAGATCAGCCAGACTGTCAGAAACAAAACAGGGAGCAAGTTACCCCAGCTCATTTTTTTTGTACCTCCTTGTATCTGGTTCAAAGCCAATGGCAGAGACAAACAGGGAACAAGTCAGCCTTTCAATTGGGAAGCCATGTCAACGTTGGGGAGAACATCAAAAAGTTGAGACAAAGGAACATCAAAAATCAGAACAACCTCAGCTTTAAAGGATCAGAAATCTTCGGAAATTTCAGACATCAACATTTAATATAGGGCCTTTCCTATATGGCGACTATCCTCCTGGGGCCTGGGAGGGGGGAAGTGGTGCCTCCCTTCCGCCCCCCTTGGAGTTGAATTGGTTCCAAAGTGACATGTTTGTCTGTGGAATCTCAGAATCAAGCCAATCCTCTGTGGTGGTCTCAGTAATCCAGTTCCTGAGCCAGGCGGGTCCACAGAACTCCAGATGAGCGTACAGCCAGGCTTACCCATGCTGATTGAAACAGTTGATCTCTTTTGAATATAAACAGCAGAAAATAACCCAACAACCGAGTGTCTGACACATGCGAATACCCATC